AAAACATATCGGCCGTGATGGTCCAGATGTTTAAACAGGTGCTTCCGCTGCTGGATGCCACCTGTGTCCCCTTCTCAGGCTTTGTTTGGACATGGATCTTGGCCCCAACTGGACATTATCCACGCCAGGACATAATAGTCTGTGCCTATATTTTCATTTTATATGGAAATCATTTCTGGAGAAACAATGGGCTCCTCATGCATAGAACTGTGATAAAGCTCATCTTAATTCATAGACTACATATATGAGCTCATCATCAAGAAAGAAGAGATGAATCCTGTACTCCCATTTTGTATTTTCCATGTGATGCCACATTTATTTGCTGAGCAGAAAAGTCTGCTGTGAATATTTTGTCTTTACCCTCATTGTCCTAGATTTATGTGTGCTTCAGCAGAATATGCAGACCGTAGTCTATGACTTCTAGTGCCTTCTAGTTTTCGTCACATTGTGTGTCCAAGTAATTATGCTAACAATCCTAGCCATATTTTCAACGTACAGTACGGAAAGGTTGTGGTGAAAAAGGCACACAGATACAGAATGTATGCAACGAAAAGTGTAATTGTAAGTGAGAAGATGCAACTGTATGGTGAGTGTGTTCAATGACATGCTTTAAGAAAAGTATGTTTGGAAAAGAATCTGGTTTTGCACAGTGAGAGATTAATAAAAGTCGATTAAGTGTGATTAAAATGTGTGCAGTTTCAGTTTCAAGACTTTAAACTCTGGAGGTTCACTATAAAATTTAAAGAACAAGTTTTCTCCATCGCAATCATTTTTATTTAGCCCTAACAGATCCTTTAACCTGAGAGAAACACTGATCTTCTAAAAATGAGTAATCAGGCTTACAATGTGTACTTAAAAAATACACCATATAATTTTTTTGCTTTTATATCAGTAGTTAGATGAACAAGCTGATATCAATTTCATCTGTATCGCTGTTATCAATAAATAAAACATTTTAGGGACATTTTAAATATTGCTGATGTTGCTAGAAAATGAGAAAGCTATCATGCGATGTGATCAACCACTCCAGAACTGACCTTGAGGTGAGACTGTTTTGTCAGCTGCTGTTTCAAGATTGAATTTGAAACCTAACTTGAAGGTTTCTTGGCAACATGAATGAGTAAGATAAGATATACTTTAGTGTTCTAGTCAAGACCTCCCAAACCAAGACCAAATCAATACCAAGACCAGAGTTTATCGAGACCGAGACAAGACCAAAACTTTTAGGGGCAGAGACCAAGTCGAGACCAAGACCGAGGGAGGGCAAGACCGAGTCAAGACCAAGACCATTTCCCCACATTATATGACACAATAAAATGTGGAATGAGATCATAGGTACTTCTCAGATTGACCTGAAATATCCACATTCACATTAAAACACCCACATACAAACACTAAGAGCTGATCCTGTTACATGCTTACCATCATGGGGGGGGGTAACAACACATTTTAGGGGTATTGGTTGCATTACAAGCAGTACGTTTGACATCAAATCAAAGTTAGGATCTTAAAGAATAAATCAGACAATGCAAAAGCAATTTATTGATATTCCACAAGTTATGATCTTGAAATAAAATCCTGAGTCCTCAATGTCAGAGACCGAGACAAGACCGAGTACAAATGCGGTTGAGTCTGAGACGAGACCAAGACCATCAAGCAGTGGTCTTAAGACCAGTCTCCAGTACTACAACACTATGGATGAGAAGTCCGTAGAGTGCTCAAGAAAAAAATATCCATGAAGTCCATGAGAACTGGGCAAAAACCATCTGCTGATGAAGATCATGTGATATGATAGAAAGCCCAAGAACAGCCACGACAGCACACAAAATGAGGATATGTGCATTTCTTGCTATTACATGCCAAAATGTTGTGCTGCTGTGAAAAAGGTAGACTATATGGTAATGATGGAAGTGAGGAGACCGAGTGGAAGCTTGCCTTTCTTTTTGTTTTCAATTTCATTTGAAAATGAAAACAAGGTCATTGATGTGCTTCAGGATATGGTCATGTGTATTTGGATGATATCCTCATCTTCTCATCATCAACAGGAACATGTGTTACACTTGCGCCAGGTGCTCCAGAGGCTCCTGCAGAATCAGCTGTGATCAAGGCTGAGAAATGTAAATTCCACGTTCCAGAGGTGTCGTTCAGGATTTCATCATCAGGGAGTGTCCAGAAAGACATATTCGGCCAATACCTGGGCTGTCATAAATTGGTCCACTCCCTCGATCCACAAGGAGCTCCAGTGTTTCCTGAGGTTTGCCAACTTCTGTCAACGGATCATCAGGAGCTACAGCTGGTGGCAACTCCATCACCGTGTTCACCTTCTCAAGGCTTCCCTTTTCATTGGTCTTTGGTGAGTTAAAGGAACTTTTCACCTCTGCTTCCATTGTTAGCAGTGATTTTAGTTTTCTCGTTTTTTCGATTCATACCACAAAAGATGATAAACATCAATTATAAAACAACAAAAAATAAATAATTAAAAATGTTATAAAAATTCATTAAAATACCAGAGCCCTAACGATAAACCTTCTCACAAAATAAAGAAAAACCATCCCCAACTGAAAGCATTAGGCCTACTAAAAAGAAACGTTTTTAGCCTCTTAAATATGGAAATGTTGGTTGCTTCCCGAACCCAAACACGGGTCTGATTCCACAGCCAAGGTGCCTGATGGCTAAAGGCTCTGGCTCCCATTCTACGTCTAGGAACCCTAGGCACTACAAGTAGCCCTGCATTTTGGGAGTGCAGTGTTCTAGTGGGGCAGTATGGTGTAAGGAGTTCTTTTAAATAAGATGGTACCTGACCAATAAGGGCTTTGTATGTAAGAAGTATTTTAAAATCGATTCTTAATTTTACCGGGATGTTCAGCATCAAGTTGCACCTGGGAAAAAAAGTAGTAAAAAACTGGATGGACAGGCCAGGTGAGTTGGTCAATATTGTTATTAGTTTTTATTGTGAAGCGGGACTGTATTAGTTGTGGAGTTTGGCCGCAGTCCCACCCCTCTTTGATGCGCCCCCTTCGGATAAAGTTGCCTTGCCTTACCTAGCATCATTTTACCAACAGAACCAGATTTTTCAAATTTTTTAACAGATTTTGTAAATTTTAAAAATATAGGAAATCGTTAATAAATAGTCTTTGGTTGGGATGCTATGCAGCCCACTTGTGTATAGGTTGGTGGTTGAACAGTAATCATAAACCACTATAAACTGAACAAAATAGAATATAACATGAAAATATGTTATCTTTTTATATTATAATCAAAATGATTACATAACATTCACAAGTCAAAACACAGTGCACTGAGTTTAGCTGACCCTCACCATGTTAACCTCTCCACAGACTGACCTCAAACTGAAACAACCTGTCATCTATATGAGCTGTAATAATTAGTAGATTAATAAATGAGAAATAATAATAACTGATTCATTGTTTTGAATATTTTTTAAACAAAAGATTGTCCAAATTCTCGTGTCTTACCTTCTCACCTTCTTCTCTTCTAACAGTTTTCTGGTTTCCTCAGTCTTCTGTGATCGTAAACACTGTGCGTTTTGGGTACCTGTGGGAGAAATTTGCTGTTGGGCCCCATTGCCTTTGAGTACAACTCGCACAGCAGATTATAGATGACAGCTTAATTATATTTCGCCCAGAATCAAGCAGAACTCCTTTACTGGAGTATGACCTGTCCCAGGTCAGTCAGTTAATTTGATGAAACATAACCTCTTTGGGGAAAATGCAGCACGTGAACATGACACAAACCAAAATATTGAAGATGCTAGAACTAGATTTTCACACATGGCCAAAATATTACCTAACAACTCTGACAACAGTCTATCATCAAATTAGGTTTATTTATAAACCACATGTAAAAACAACCAGAGATGTCCAAAGTGCTGTAAAATAAAATTATATGATATGGTAAAAAAAGCAGCAGAGACCTTAAGTTCTTTTAAATGAAGGCTGAATGCTTTTCTGTTTGCTGCTGCCTTTTATTAAATCAAATTCATGGCTTTTGATCAAGATCTTACACTGTTCTGTTTTAGCTTGTTTTTATTTTCAATTTAAGTCTATTAAAATTATATTTAAATGTCTGTTTTTTATATTTCCCTCTGTTGCCCTTTTTGAATTGCCTTGTTGTTGAAATGTGCGATACAAAGAAACTTGCGGGTCATAAGTTTAGCCTCAGAAGTGTCTGCAGGGGGTGAACGTGTAATTGAAAAATTTTAGGACGGCTACCGCAAACGCACAATCTTATCCTTTATCTTATCCCTTAGTCTCAACTGAAGGACAGCCAGCAGCAGCTGGTCTGAGGATCTGAGAGATGTGAGGTTGGAAAGGGGTTGGAAACTCAGTCCAACCGGTAAACAATACAGGAACACCAGTACAGGTGTGATGCTGTCTCTCTTCCTGGTGCCAGTTAATAGTCTAACAGCCCTATTCTATACCAGCTGCAAGACAGACTGGGATGATGCATTTGTGACAATCTTCAGGTCATTTAATAAAGTGTTGAAGAGTTGATATTGTACATTAGTGGTGCACATCCTCTAACACATATTTACAAGTGATCCAATGGAATAGGGTGTGGAGGCCCCTGCAGGTCTGGAGCCCCTCCTCCACTTTACCCGGTTAGTGAAGACGTTTTCCAGTGCCAAGAATACAACTTCAGATCGTTACTTTCAGTGCCAGCTGGCTCAATTAAAAAGTACAGTTTTTATAAGTGAAGGAATTGTTCAGTTTAACTTCTGCATCATGTTTTATAACCCCTTGATTTATTATTTCAGAATCGCTGGTCTGCACAAAATGTAGAACTGTATACCAGTGATGCATAAATTATAATAAACATTTCTAGACATGTAATTGTAAAATATTACCTTTGTGAGCTTTCCACTGTTTGCAGGAGTCTCAATTGGACACAAGAAGGCGCCATTTCCATGCACATGGAAGGAGAGGCTCTGCTTAATTTAGATCAGTTAGAAACCTGACAATCTGTCAATGGCTGCCGTTATAAACCTTACAGTCAAAATAAACTGCAGTATACTGGGCGCGACTCTCCACAACTACACATTCAGTTGGATGTTGGGATTGTAATTTAGTGATACAGTTACAAAGAAGAGGTTCAGGGCGCAAAGATTGCAGACTATTTATTTATAGTTTTGAAACAGTCTTTATTGATGCCCTCAAAAGCCAACACGGGACTGCCTTGTGTATGAGCTTCGCATCCTCACATTTCCATTACGCACAGGAGAGCGCTCACATGCCTTCTGTTGGAGCCCTCCTTGAGCAGCGCGCCGGAAGAGCCTAGGTGACTCGGGGACCTCACGGAGGAAGGCGGTGAAACACGAGCTCCTTTCATATTTATCACCTTGGAAATGAGCGTTGTATGTTTCCCCGCATGCGTAAAAGCTGTACTATTCTAATGGTCATGTCATGGTTCGCGTCTTCCCGCTACTGCTCTACCCGGGGAGGAGTGTGGTGGTTCAGTCCCTCAAAAAGTTCAAGATTCCCTTCAGTAAAGTCCTTTTAAATTTTTGGTCTGTAAGTATTTTTTTTTCCCAGCTGAACATTGGAGTAGTCCCGCAATGGCTAGGGTGCCCTGAGGGGAGATGGATTTAGAGGTGAAGACTGTGAACGGGTCGAGCTGTTTGTCCCAGAATGAGAGCGACTGCAGACTGAGCGCTTCCTCCGCTGGAGTGTCCACTGCGCTGGCCAGCGTGCTGATCTTCACCATCGTGGTAGACATCCTGGGCAATGTCCTCGTCATCCTGTCCGTATACAGGAACAAAAAGCTCAGGAATGCAGGTGAGAGATGAAGAAACGATAAAGTGTTGATTTTGGAGTGGACCCACAGATAGATGCGGATGTAAATGTAATGTAATGTGCATAGCAGCTTGAATGGTCAAGATGTGACTATGAAATATGCAGAAGTTAGGGACAAGAACACACTGAAAATAGAATAGTGAAAGAATTTGTTTTTATTATTTCAGAAAAAAAAGTTTAACAACTGACTCACTTACATTTGGTCAAAAGCCAAAAGGAAAAATCTTTGTCTCAATGACCTACATTATGTGGGATGCCCTGCCCTCTCTATTCATAACTTAAATGATGTAATATAACAATGTGTATTGCCTGACCTCTGTGTTTGACAATTAGGCTGCTATCTGAAGTGAGCCTCCAGTCTCAGTGTGATGGAGTTTCCACAGCCTTGCCTGTCTGCCCTCATATCTCTTCATAAATAATAACGCTCTCTTCCCTCCATCTGGCTTTATCCTTGGTTCTCCATCCCAGATAAATCACATCCCACCTTATATCAAGACCTGTAGTGTCCCATGAGCAGCCAAGGTGAGCGACGCTGTTATATAGCTTCTATGTCCTTTTTTACAGGTTTTGTATAGGGCACAACCTCATATTTTCTTGTGTTACGTTTGAAGTGTCGTGACAGCGGTGTGAAGGTGAAGTAGTTGTTTTTTATTGTCACTTTAATGCCGTTTTTCGTTCTTGTCAAATATGCCGTCATCATTCAATTGCCCCCTTTACTTTCTAGCCTATAGTTGCCTCAAATGCCTCAAAAAGTCATTTCATGTAATTTCACTTTTTCGGAAATTAGTCTCTTAAAGTCTGGTTTCATGAGCTAGGGGGCTGTACGAAAGTGAACAGTGTTGGAAGAGGGTCAGAGAAATGGAAGGGTGATGGGGTTTTTTCTTCAGGCTAAAGGATGGCTCTTCTGAGTTATTGTTGAGGGCAGGGAAGGGTCTTTTATTCTTTTAACTTTTTTATTTTTTCTAATCCCAGATTTATATTTTATTTCAACCTCCCCTTGCACTATAGTTAGTTGTCAAAAAGTTATCTTCCATGTTCGCAACAACATGTGTCTATCAGGGTTTTATTTTCCCCATAATCAACTAGTAGCTAATGTAAAGTAGCTAACTCCCTGACTCAGTATCTCAGTTTTCAAGAAACACAGAATTCACTTGGATCTTTTTAGTTATTAGTAATTAAACATAACATATCCCAAAGAGTATGTCATTAAAAATATATAAACGTATATATCCCTCCTTGTTAACTTCTAATATGTGCATTAACATATCAAAGCAAGACTATGTAATTTTCCAAAGAAAGAACAATGCATTTTTCCTCTTAACAAGTTGAAGTCATGAGGCAATAAAAAGCACTCTTGCTCAGTTCAGTACAGTTCAGTATCAGATGCTTTACTGCCTTTGTTCTGGTATGACCAGTAGCTTTTGCTTGCTACAGCTAGCAAATGTTAACACTTAATGAGTCAATTAAGAGCAGTTATAACTCGTCTGTCCTTGAGCTATGTCACAGATAAACCTCTCAATGGCTTTATAAAAAGTAAAATAAGCAGTAAACACCCCACAGCACAAAGTTATATAGTCCCACTTTAATGTATCTTGTACAAATCAAACTGTTACATTATTTTTAGATATTAGAAGGTGTTGCACTTTTTTCCACCAGATGGTCGAAAGAAACTATTGATGATGTTGGGGAGGGCCTTAAAACATATTTTAGTCTCCAATTATAAAAACAATAACACACATGCATGTGATCAAATGTTGTGACTTGATTTTCCTAAAATAACTGTGAACTTATGATGCATTGAACTTAAAGGTCCTGGAGATTGTGCCCCATTATACCCAGCAGGTCTTTGGTTAAAAGTGAAGTCAGGAAAACCTTCTGCTGAGGCAAAACACTAAACTCAGTGATCACAACGTGATGCTAATGAGAACATACGAATCAGGCAGCAGGATTAGGTCAGCGAGTGTTTGGAATAATGAGCTTTTAATTACAATTTCAAATGCATTACATAACACACCCAACGTGTTCCCGTGTACACCAGCCAAAAGCAGTTTGGCAAGAAGTTTAGGAGCCTGAAGTATAATTTGATTATCCAGTTTGCAAAAATGCCACAGTCGACTGGTTTCAAACAAGAAGGCATGAGTAAATGGCCTGTTCAAAAGTCTTCTCCATGCTGGTGGACTATGGAAATTGTACTAATTACAGACCTCATGTCTCTGTTCCCCTACCCTAATTGGACTGACTGACAGGTCCAGTCACACGATAGTCCTCCCCAGTGTCGTGTTGTCCTGTTGGTCAGCATGTGTGAGTACCTGAACTCCAGAAGGGCCTCTCATCTCATGCTATCTTTTTTTTTTTCTCAAGTGTGTCCTTAAGTGCCTGGATGTGCTACTGCTGTTAGCCTATCATCAATCTCCCCTCTGTTCTTAACAAGCTATTTATAGGTTTGCCTCACTTTGTATGAATGTTTAATTGTACAGAGCTTCCGAAAAGGAAAAGCATGGACACAGCTGAAGAACAGCGAAACAGCTGAAGATCAGTCTGCCAGAAAAAAACAGCTTCTGTGAAAGATGGCTGTTTTGTAAAGGGGCGATAGGCACAGTATAATCCAAAAGCTAAAATTTATGATTTACAGTAAGTAAATACAACTCTCAGACTTGTATTTTTGTAGAATCCGGTGTGTTAGGCAGAAACATGCCATCTCCTCTCTCCATTACACACTATTCCAACGACTGGTTTGCTTCCTCACACACAGCAGCAAGACCTTTCCGCTCTGATTCACTTCAGCACACATATGCACGGTACATCTATACCGTATTTAATTATCTATATACACACACATTTGAGAATGAGTTCCATTTTTGCAGGTTTGCAGGTTCTCTCAAGTGTGCACATGTAATAGGATCTATCCACTGACTCTTCAAAGGGTGGAGCATGGCACTATAGGATTGCCAATGGGGTGTTAACACTAGAGTGTCCCACTGGAGTTAACCACACTAAAAATACACTCACAAAATGTACTCTTGGGGGTGGGGGGGTGGGGGTAGGATGAAGGGGGAGCAGATGGAGGAAATAGCGAAAGAATGAGCTTGACTGTGTGTGATGTGCAGCTTGTACCTCCATGTCAGGAGCTCCTGGGTTGCGAGATGTGAGGATGGACTTGAATTTTGTTTGAGCACCGCATCCCCTCAGTCTCTCTACATTACAGTCATGTATGAAATCTAAAAAACAGACTGTCCAGAGGGGGGGGTTAATTGAGTCAGTGGACTTAGTGAGTCAAACCAGAGGCCAATTTAAATTGACAGCACAGATCCACGGGGAATATCACTTAGCACACCACATTAAACATGTCTTCTTTTTCCGGCAACAAAATAGTATATGACATTTAGTTTTTTAAATGTGGTCAGCATGGAGGTGGGCTATTATCAGATTAGGATTATCTGACTAACCACATCTAGATAAAGTAAATGTTTTCATTACGTCCAAATCTTTACTCCTACTGCAGGAGGCTGAAATGTGCATAAGTCACTATCATCCTCATGTTTCTGGAGTTGCGCCTAACGAGTGAAACACTGTTGGATCAGATGATGATGATGTTTTTAGCCGGGCTCATAGCAGGCTGCATCACCAAAAGGCAGCTTGTGTCACTTTAATGTTGAACTTCTAAGAAAAAAAATCTCTGGACCCTTGAACACAAGTTCATGAAGTAGTCACTACGAATTCATCAGTGATAATGCCCTTGCCTTAAGGTTATTGTTGCTTATTTATGATGACATGAGTGAGTAAATTGAATGTAATCTAATTTGGGATATGCACTTGCAGCGATAAGCATTCAGCCGGATTCAGGCGATGCCAGCTCTCCTCCTACACATTTTTGTGAATTCATCTTTCCTTCAAAGGTGTATAAATTTAGCCGAGTGAATCAAAGCGAAGTGCATCACGTTTCCAGCATGAGCAGCAAGACTGTGACAGAGGAACATAAGCCCCTGACATTCACACATGCACACAGCCAGCAGGTTGTCAGTCAGAAAACAGACTCAGCTGGCAGTCTTTTGTTTTGTCTGCACTTATATCTTCATTATGTACCTTTTCTCGCTCCAGCATAACTCCCTTTTTATTTTTTTACTGTATTGTTCTTTTTATCACTCAGAACTATTAAGCTAGAATGAACCAGCATGCCATAAATATGCCTGCATTGTATACATAGCCTATTTTAATACATATGCAGGTTTATATGCTGAAAGGGAGGGTGTGAGGCAGTTTCTGTCTAATATATTTTTGAATATGCTGCAGTGTGTGTGTGTGTGTGCTGGAGGATTCTGGTGACAAAGATGTTGCTTTACTCATGCATAGCTGAATAGCTCTCTGCTGTACTGTTTTGATTTATGTTTAATACGCCAAAAAATGTTGTACGTGACAGACAGAGAGAAAGAGAGAGGGAGGGAAGTCATGGGGTGGTCGATCAACTCTCGGGAGACACTTAAAAAGCAAGAATCAGTTGATTGGATGTAACATTTCCCTCTGTTGGCAGTTTTGGGAGAGTATACTGTACGATCAGATAATTACAGAGCCAATGGTGTCAGAGAAGTTAAAGGCTGCAAGTCAGTTGTCCCTGATGGCCTGTAACCAATCAGCATTCAGGTTAAGCTCTATACAACTCACACTTGATAATAATAGCTCCCAAAGATGTCAGCGGGCACGACTCTATTCTGGTATCTAGGCGTGAGAATATCCTTGTCAGACAGCTGTTTTTTCCCTAAAACAATAAACATTTTCAGTGCTGTATGTTTGGATGTGATGAGCGTCAGGCCGGCCAAGTTGGTTAATTGAACAGCGAGAGGTAATGGTTCATCCAGCATTTTAATAATGGATGCCAACAAAATAAAGAGTCATCTGGCCGCTTCACAGCAATCCTCTCAGCGGTGTTTTAGCACTTACCTCATCCTCTTGACTATAAGGGGGAGAGAGGGTTCAGCCAGAGAAAGCTATATGGCTGTAGCATGCGCTGTCTCGCCAGCACACATGATAACACTGAGCCGCATGATGTCAGCGAGGAATCAAACCTCTGCACAATGACAAATGCACACAGCGAGCACTGTGAGCATCACAAATGCAATCTGACAGATTTGCCCACTGAGCTGACTCGAGGATGAAGAACAAATGCTTTTATTTTTATCTCAGCAGGCTTGAGAGATGGCTCCCGCTGTTTTAGTAGCTTGGAAATGGACTGTCTCTAAATAACTGTGCCAGGTCTGTGGAAAAATGTGAAACCATCATCTCATTTTCTCCTAAATTTTTTTAAACATTTTATAATGGTGTGTGTATGCTCTTTGTTATTTTATTTATTACCATGTTCGATGAATGAAGTTCAAGGCAAGTAGGTTAAAATTAGAGGTAGAGTAGAGGTAGGTTAAATTGGTTACTAAACAACATACTCTAACTGTGTTGTCCCTTGGGTGCAGGGACAATAACAAGCTTTTAAAGCCGAAAATTGATGGCCAACATGTGTTTAAAATAAACTCTCATCAAATCTTCCAATCAACGCTGTTGATTCAGCTGTCTGAATGAGCGAGAGCCTTGTGCCTTCACATTTCAACTTCAGGAGTTAGTTTATGTTGTATTAACCCTGGAATCACCCCAATGTCTGACACAAAGTGTGGATAAAATGAGCCACATTATATATAATGCTTTACAGATTATTTACAGAAAGCATAAATATTTATATTCCAACCAGTGATGTAAGTGTGCTTGAGAACGTGGCTAAAAGGGGGGAATGACAAGCAGTATGTAATCATATTTTCAGGTTTATTTATCTTATGTACTGTAGTTTCTATCAGCTTGATGCTACTGACTACATGAAGTACTAATTATATGAGAAATACTGGGATTATTTGGGCTCTCCACTTCATCACAAATTTTGATTCCTAAAATATGTACCCCATTCACACAATAGACCCTTTATTGCACAATGTGTACTCTAAACATATGGGCGGCTAATACCTCTTTTGGGAAACAACAATTCAATCACACTGTGGCTCCACTTTTAGTTTTTACAGTTATCTATCTTCTTATCTGACACATTACAATTGGATTTATTGTTTTATTCTCCACCCAGAACAGCTGCATTGTAACAATGTCATACGTCATTTTCTATGATTCATGTCTTCTGAGGAGATCCAGTGTCACATTACCATCTGCTTGGACCTCAGAAGGACAGGAACTTGTTTGGATGTAATTTGACACTAAAATCACCCATGTCCTGTGTTTTATGTGCTTAAACTGTCTGTTCCCGGGGACAAAGAACCTTTAAAAAAAGAACAGCCTGATTTGAGCATTTTATTGAGATGGACCTGCCAAGTAAAACATTTTTATAAACAAGACTAAGAGACTCTACAGCCATGTCAACAGCACTGCGAGGCTGCAGTCAAGCAAAGCTATGCTTTGAGCTAAATGCTAACATCAGCATGCTAACATCCTCACGATGCCAATTCTAACATGTTCCATGCTGATGTTTAGCAGGTTTAATATTTACCATGTTCTCTATCTTAGCGTCTCATGTTGGCATGCTAACATTTGCTAATTAGCACTAAATGGTACAGTTGAGGCTGATGGGAATGTCATTAGTTTTGCAGGTATTGGACAAATTAAGATTCTGACCTGATGATGGTGCCAGATGAAAGTCAGGATCAACAGAATTATTACATTTCATCCTGAAGGGGACATTAAGTCTGTACAATAAATCATCTATCCCAAGAGATGTTTCACTCAAAACCATAAATCTGAACCTCATTGTGGCGCTAAAGTCAGAGGGTCACCAGCGTCAGTGGGCACCGTGATTGTGTGTACCAAATTTCATGGCAATCTATCCAACAGATGTTGAGATATTTCCGTTTTCACCAAAGTAATGAACTAACAGACCACCATTGCCACTGGCATGGCTTAAGTGTTGTTAGCTTTAAAAACAGTTAAAGCGAAATAAAAAAAAAAGAGGTTACAACACTGGTAAAGCTGTGACAATAAAGCATTTGCCTGGATCCACATTGGTGCAGTGGAGAGTACATGGTAAAAGCCTCATCAAAATGAGCCCCAGAGGGCACAATGAAGTTGCTCTTTTATGATGGTTAGTCACAGTCGTACCTCCGGTGACCCAGTTTATTTTAACCTAGAGTACAAAGTGAAAAGGGAGTGCAGTGTGCTTTAGTTATGTGTCAGTTTGGGTCATGTTTTGTCTGTTATCTAAACCTCTCCTGCTTCTCCAGGCAACATCTTCGTGGTGAGTTTGTCCGTGGCAGACCTGGTGGTGGCGTTGTACCCCTACCCTCTGGTCCTTACAGCCATCTTCCACAATGACTGGACCATGGGTGACCTGCACTGCCAGGCCAGTGGCTTCATCATGGGCCTAAGTGTCATTGGCTCCATCTTCAACATCACGGCCATCGCCATCAACCGCTACTGCTACATCTGCCACAGCCTCCACTATGACCGTCTGTACAGCCTGAGGAACACCTGCTGCTATGTGGGCCTCACCTGGATGCTCACCGCCATCGCCACAGTGCCCAACTTCTTTGTGGGCTCGTTGCAGTACGATCCGCGCATCTACTCCTGCACCTTCGCCCAGACGGTCAGCTCATACTACACTATCTCAGTGGTGATTATACACTTTCTGATCCCACTGCTGGTGGTGTCCTACTGCTACATGAGAATATGGGTGCTGGTGATTAAAGTGAAACATCGGATTAAACCGGAGCAAAGGACTAAAATGAAACCTAGTGATGTGAGGAACTTCTTGACAATGTTTGTGGTGTTTGTGTTGTTTGCAGTGTGCTGGGCTCCACTTAACCTCATAGGCCTGGCTGTAGCTGTAAACCCTGCAGCAGTTGCGCCCCATATACCTGAGTGGCTCTTTGTCACAAGCTACTTTATGGCGTACTTCAACAGCTGCCTCAACGCCGTCATATATGGCCTACTAAACCAAAACTTCCGCAAAGAATACAAGACAATCCTTCTCGCTCTTTGCATCCCACGTTTGCTCCTCGTGGAGACCTCCAGGTGTGCAACAGAGGGACTTAAGAGTAAACCATCACCAGCTGTAACAAACAATAATGTAGCAGAGATAAATGTATAAACTAATGTTTTACTGGGAAACTTCAGTTAAGTTTCTCTAGAGCCTCAATGTGAATGTGTGACACGATTCACCCAGTGCCTTTTCACATGATGTAATCATGTTTGGAGAGGATGCCATCGTATTCCTTTCAGCCATGTCAGACACTATTCCCTCATGTTGAGAGTAAAATAAATCCGTTGTATCATTGGTACATTGTGCTCCTTTGTGGCAGCCTCCCTGCACCTACAGTTAAAGACATACCAGCTAACTGGTTAATGAGCAGTATAAATTCAGAAAACAAGGTAATATTCACTGAAAAATATTTGAACCATGAGGCAGCACTGAGAATTTCTGTCCTAAACTCATACACAACAGCCTATTATTTGGATGGGAGACTACACTTTTCAAGTCACATCCCAGCATGTGTACATCATGGGCACGGGAATGACTCAGTGCCTATTTGCACAGATTGATTATGAGTATGTCAACAACATAGTGAAAATAAAATAAATGGTTTTTTTTCCTATTCCCTGTCTCTGCACTCTTAAAAGTCTGCTTGGTTATTTACCTTCAATACAATGGCTTCCTTTTATTAAATGCTAAATTATGAAGGATTTTATGCTTATGGTTTGATTTAATTGACTGAGAATATTTAAAGTGGCATGGGCGCCAATCTGGAAACTGAAAAATATTTTTAATTCTGTAAAAGCCATGTTGAAGTTTGCATCTTATATTTCATCCTCTGTGTATGAATACCTCACTCTCCTTCTCCCTGGGAATATATGCTGTATTAATTTCACCATGAAGCTGTTTCACCCTCAGGCTTGTGAGCTTCTGAGCGATGATGCCCCCACAAAAAAAAAAAAAACACACTGCGAAGATTGTGGAAGCTTTTGCTCCAGTCAAGAAAAAAAAAACTATTATCAGAATGGACTTTGTGTGTTAATGGAAAAAGGCATGCCTTGTTGTTTGTAAAATTTAAGTCTATCAGTTTCTTCTGGTGAACAAACTGTTTCAACTATCGTATTTATCAATTTACTGGACTAAAAGATTCAAAGCTCCAGTCAGCCCCTTTCAGACAATGAGTGATTTAGGTATTGCAGAAATCTTGAAATGAGGAAGAACAGATAATAAACAAAGCTTGCTTTCTTGTTTATTAAATGCCTGAGGGAAATGATATGCATCAGGAACCAGAGATGTGATTTCGTGATAGTGCAAGTGTGCCCGAGCACATGTCACCCTAGCCGAGATGTGCTCTGACAGCCTCCCAGCATAACTTCCACCAAGCAAACAAACTATGAGCGGTTCACCTCACAGGGAGGCTCCAAGATGTCAATGTGACACATTCTTGTTATGATGCACTGTTACTGGAATATTAAAGAGATTACACATTCCTAATGTCTAATTCAAAGGATTTATAACTATTCTCAGCATTATATTTACTTTCAGATCCATTTTCTGATTTTTGTATTCTGCTGTGCTTGGACAGGCTGCCTGATGTCTGGCTAAATTAAACTCTTAGTGGATGATTATAGATGCAGGAGTAGGAATCTGAATCCATGATGGATCTTGGATCAGTGCAGGGAGACTCAAGCTGTCATATAGAACCAGGTGCCATCAAGTTCAAGAGCAGACAAATGGCACAAAACAGTGAATATCCGCTTACAATCTTACAAGAGAGTGTCTCTGATGTGGATGAAAGAAGCAGCCCTTATGCCAGTGCATGGTCAGCTAGAGATGAGTGGCTAAAGGGGCTCGAGGGAAGATGACAGTGTCGTCTCTACCCCACACCAAAGAGTCACGGACTAATGGCAGGGTCATCCTTCTTCCTCCTCCTCATTCTTTCCTTTCCCTGCTCTTTTTACATTTATCCCACCCTCTCACAAGGTATCTAAGGAATAGCTTGACATCTTGGGAAATAATCTGTTATGTATGAAGCTACTGCCAGGACATGCTTAGCTTGGTTTAGCTCAGCATAAAGACTGGAAACCAGGTGAAACATATAGCCTGTTTGTCTGAAGGTTTGTCTACATGCACTTCTTATAAACATTTATCTTTTTTAATCCATACAAAAACCTTCATGTTGTGGTAAAACCAAGAGAAGGTCCTAGCAAACAAATTTGATATCCTAAAAATGACCAATTTTGGATGTCGTGGAAATTGTATCTTGCTGGTGAAGGATTAAGCAAATAATTGAGTAACAACCAACTGTTGTCTTTGAATAATTTATTAATAAAAGACAATAAATAGAGAAGTACTAAAACACATATACAGCTGGTCCAGAGAGCATCAGGGGTCTGGCCCCCCTGGGATGCATAATCATTTAAACAGTCTATGTTTCTATGTTTTGGGGAACCAAGATCCTCTCCCCGCCTTGAATGAGCATTCAAGGAGAGGAACAGCAAGAAAGAAAAACACAAAAACAATCACAACTCTGACCTAAACCTTAGTAAATGTGGACAGACTAAAATAAGGAGTACAGAAGAAGGAAAGTTAAGGATAAAAAACAATACATATATATATCTATAAGATATAACAATAATAGTAAAATAGTAATAGTAATAATAATAATATTAAAAGATCATACATAAAAGATTAAATGTAAGAGGACACAATTTTCTGCCATGACACAAAGCAAAGAGTATCTTTGTAAAATAAAAAGTTGGCATTTTTATATGAATCATAGACTGCAACACAACTCATATTGCTCAGTAGATAAATCATAAACACAATCCAGAGCCCAGGATGAAAAGCTGTAGTCTACCCACCCACACAGACATGTCCTTTTGCTGTGATTTAATATGAAAGGCAATAGCTTGTGGAGACATTTTTCTTACGGTATGTTCGAGGACAGCATGATCTATCCATGCCGCATTACGCTATAAGATCTATTATAACTCCTGACTTTATTTTGCCAATTTCACATATGCATGTGGTTCTGTCTCTCTGTGACTTACAGTCTCCTTGGTTTCTCGGTGACATCAGTGGTGAAATCCATTTTATTTTCCTTTGGCTGCTCCTTTGTGTCTCAGATAAGCTTTCTACAGCCGAGTCAGTGTGTACTGTCATGTAGGGGTATGTCAGAATTCATAAACATGAATTATATTATTCTATGATCATATATCAGATGTAAGGCAGGCATAGTTGTCTTAGTTTTTGTAAATACGTCTAAGAGATCTGCAGTGTTCTTTGCAGCATCCCCTTCATGGGACTTAGAATTTACTGCCCAAACTGGATCAAGAACAAGGGGAGCTAGGCATAAACTTGAATTTGTCTGCGCACAATGATACGCTAGTCTACTCCCTCCACAGCCATGTTTTTACTTGCTTATTTCCTTCTCCTCCTTAGTGGTATGTGAGTGGGAGAGGTTCTCAATTCTCATTTGTGGGAGATTATTTCCACAGAAGACTGCCACAAATGTGGGGGATGAGGAATGAGGCATTATGTGCCCCAACACTAGCCTGATATGATGGGGGGATTTTTTTGCCCGGTGGATGAAGCCAGACCTAACTCCCCTCTTTGCACAGAGGAATGTCTACAGCTCTTGCACATCATTGCATTTTACAGCGGTTGGGTCTCGCAGTGGGTCTGCTGCCCCAATAGCAAGTCTCCTAATGGATTTGTGCATCGGGTTTAGCAGTGCCGGTGTTCTCATGCATATGATGTGTTCCTACATGTCACAATGGGCTGTGGGTAATAATACTACCAGGAGGTTTTAGGTGTTGTGGGCCAAAGGAAGCCAATGAGAGCAGGAAGTTGGGATGATGGTGATTATCTACATCAGATTTCTTGACTTTATTTTTAGACTGAATTATGTAGCAGAGGGGATGATAGATTAATCAGTAAAAGTTAAATTATTTCTACTTTTTCTATGACATGGTTTGCCATGGTACCACTGGTGGATGAAGCAGTACATCAGCTACTGTATATAGCTGATCAGCTCAATCCACAGAAAGATGACATGTGGTGTTATTTTCAAGTATAATTTTAGGCAGAGGTAGTTTTAACTACTTTATGTACAGTTCAGCTGTTAGGTCCAGTGGTTCCCATCCAAGGAGTTGGCCCCCTCCAAAGGGTCACACAATTAATCAAGGGGGTTGTGTGAAGATTAACATGGCAGGAAAGAAGAAAAACTGCTACACAAATCTCTATTCATTTTTAGGACTTTTCTGCACTCTTATCTAATCTAATTTTGAAGTATTAGATAATTTTACCCTTTTGTGCCTTGAATACTTGGTGTAACCGCTTAACTCATAGACATCTTAAACAACTGATGGGTCCCAAGCAAAAAAAGGCTGGAAACCATTGGTTTAACATTTACAGGAAAAGGTCAACAATTTGGGAAAACAGCTAACCTGGCTCTGCCCTAAGGTAACAAAGTCTACCTACCAGCATCTCTAAAGCTTGCTTAGTGTAAAAACTTTGAAAATGACATTTTATGGAAAGTTATGCTGGAGTATTTCTTTTTTGGAGGTGTTGGCAGGGAGATTTTGTTACCTTTGGAGGAAGCCAGACAAGCTCTTTCCCCCTGTTTCCTTAGCCGTATTTAGTATACAGACCTTAGAGTGGCATCAATCAATCTAACTCTCAGCAAGAAAGCGAATAAGCATATTCTCAATGTGTCACATCTTTACTTTAATAGTACATTGTATTTTTTACAAGCTTGGCATGTGTTTTTTAATTTGAATATCAAGTAGTTTCACTAGTTGTCAAATAAATGCAGTAGAATAAATAGTACAATAATATTAGCCTCTGAAATGTAGTGGAGTAGTTGAAGTATTAAGGATGGATAGAAATACTCAAGTCAAATACAAGTACCTCAAGACTGTACATAAATAGTTCTTGTAATAAATGTACACAAAAGAAAAACACTTGCACTTGTTGATGTGAATCAAGGCCAAAAATTGTCCTTTCACCCTTGGCAGCAGTTGTAAATGCAACAAGTGACAAAGCTATAAATAGCATGGAACACTTTTAAGTGGTTTGTATTCTTACTCTCATTACAAATGGAAACTTCATAAATACATACAGTAACAGTTCCCCATTGCAACACTGAGGGACATTCTGTCGCTTGCTCAAAACAACAGGTGTGGAGTCTCGGGTGCCTCATGTTTGACTGAGAGCACTGGTGACACATGGAATGCAAAAGGCAGCGAGTGGAGTCCAGACAGAGAGAGCCATGGGAAATAGTTCCAGAAGGTCAGAGGTCAGGATCCATGAGGTAAGACAATTTAGTATTGAACTTGCACTAGAGGGCCCCATGACCAGATCTACACACTGTTATCCCATTGGGAACACGGCTTTTGTCAAGCTTTTAGGGGGAGCTGTTTTATTAAAAGTTATAATCCCACCATAACGGGGTGAACGTGTGTGGCCAGCGACCGCATCGTCTCCGTCCTTTGTGGTTCATGGTCTATTCCCAAAGCTCACTGCAAAAAAACATGTAGTTAATTTTTGGTTTTGCATCTGCTTCCAGAGAAAATAAAATCACAGTGTTTTGGGAGAATGTTATTTTAACCTGGAACAATTACTGATGACCTGTTCATGAAAAGAGGTCACTGTTTATTTTTTAATTACTGCCTGCTCTAATGATTAGCCTGAGATATTTTTCTGTACAATTAGAAAAATGGCTTGTAGTTGCTTGTGGGATGGTTAGATTTTAAAAGCTAACACACAGTATAACGTGCCTTGGCTCCTATACAAAAAGGTGATTTTTTATGAATATTTTGTTTTAAATAAAGTCAAATGATTCATAAAACATTGTTAAATACACCTGCAGTCCCTTAAAATCAACATGTCATGTCACCGATCATACGGTGCTGATGAACAAAAAGACCAAACAAATCAACACAAACACAGACAAATCAACACACAGGCCTGTGAACACATGATCTGTGGGATGCTGTAAGTGAAGGAGAGTTTAAGGGACACTGCACTGAAACCTCTCCCCGTGCTTTCTTTCTATCTCTAAAGTGCAACATCTAACAAAACAAAAAAGGCAGAAAATAATTTTTGAAATTGTGCTCGGTGGTTCATCCAGCAGCAGATATGAGAATAATATGATTCGCCGCGACAATCCTCTGCGACTCCAGAGTCAGTGATGTCTTGGGCTCTTTGCGCAGTAACTGCTCGGGAGTGAAATTGCCATGGAAAGCAAAATTATTATTTTGAACACACATCACTGGATTGTTCTTAGTGGTTCTGGCTGGTCCCTCTTGAGAGTCTTTTCAAATGAAATGTGTTTTGGGGAACCTGCTGAGCGTGGGACCAGTGAGAACAAAGCCAACTGGAGCAGAAAGTGCCACTCCTTGACACTCAGCCAGTTTCTTCAACCAGAAACACAGCCAGTGCACGATACTAAATGTATATGGTCGGCACAGAATGGACTAAACTGCCCTCTGTTACATCTGCAATGAAACAGGAAATAGTCCGTTCAGGAATGTAGGGTGCTCAAGCACATACTGTACATGTGATTTGTACAGCAGCCCCTGGGGAAACTGAAGTTATATCATGTCAAGACTGCAATAAATGATCCTTGAATGATGAACTTACATGTTTTGATCCATCCTATTATTGCTTCTATTTGTAGAGTCTGGTTATGGGAACAGACAAATGGACAGTGATGTCAGAATATAAACAGACAAGTGTAAAAGATTTTTATTTGATGTGAGAAGAAATATGTTTTAATTGTTAAAAAAACTCACTATGATGTTTTGTCTATGAAGATTCTCAGTCATCCAGGTCATAGTTATCCAACGAAGGTTAAAATGAAGGGCAACTGGACTTGGTTGAAGCTACTGGAAGACGTTTCGTCCCTTATCCAAAGGACTTCTTCAGTTCTGACTGACTGGCAGGGAAACTCAGCTATTTAACCTCTATTTAATCTCTAACCGCTATTTAACGACCCCACTGAGGTTAAATAGCTGAGTTTCCCTGCCAGTCAGTCAGAACTGAAGAAGTCCTTTGGATAAGGGACGAAACGTCTTCCAGTAGCTTCAACCAAGTCCAGTTGCCCTTCATTTTAACCTTCGTTGGCTCACTATGATGTGCGTCATTCCAAGGAATCCAAGGTTGTAAATGGACCAGTATGTTACTATTAAATATGATGTTGTTGGATTAACATTACCGCTGCTTTAATGTGCATGTCACATATTACTGATATATGTTTTACTTTACAAAGTGATAGGTAGTTTAATCTACAGAAATGCATCTGTAAAATCATGATATAATAACAATAACTTATTTTTTATAGTGCTTTTCTTAATGTTACAAAGTTCTTCACAAAAACATAAAATACAATAAAATAATAATAAAATAAAATAAATTCAGAGATTAAAAAAAACTTTTTAAAAAATGCAGGGAGCTCATAATTGTTTGTAACATTGCTGTCCTTATTGTAATCTGAAAATTAACAAGTAACTAAAGCCATCAGTCAAATGTGGTGGAGTACACTGTACAATATTTACCTCTGAAATGTACTGGAGTGAAAGTATAAAGTTTCATAGCATGGAAATAAGTAAAGTAGCCAACAAGTATCTTAACTTTGAACTTTAGTAGAGTACTTAGTTACTGTTCAACAATATATAAAGCGGTAGGCCTGTAAAAAATATTCAAAAGGCTTTCTTACACATTTGTGCGTCATTGATAAAAACAATAAGGTCCAATAATACAACTTTGAACAGGATAATTCTGGTGCATAATGTTTAAGTCCGTGCTGTTGATTAGCACTAGAACTTTTGTATTTTTGTAATGGAGTATTTATGCATCTGTATTGTAACTTTTCTTTTCTACCACTGGTTATAATAGGGCAAATAAAAGGCAGCCCTTACAGGAGACTCCACAAACAAAGGACATACACATTACATGTTAATTATGTGTCCAGATGATGTGCCCATCTATAAATACCCATGATAAAGTATAGCTTAATTTCTGCAGGACATAAACCAGGCAATTTGATACTGCCGCAAAGTCTGCCCTCGCGAGAATTATTGGCGTCAAACCTCGTCATGTGACGGTCCCATGATCCAATGCGGAAGAAGGGATTTCAACAGTGACAACCGCAACACAGACCAAGGGAACAGCTATCATTCAGCGATTACATTTTCCGTTTTTATCTGTATTTCGCCTACTATCAGCCCAGCAATGGACGGATCTGTCAGAGCATCTTCAGACGCCGCAGACGGGCCGCCTCCTTGTTTTAGAGGGTGAGAAAATTCTCAGTTGTTTTAAACGGACAGCTAGCGTTAGCTCGTTAGCTGAGTTTACTAGCTTGTGGCTGTGGAGTGACCTGGGAGTGACGCCTGGCCTCAAAGCGCCCGTCCCCCCCTGTGCTGCTGTTTGATGCTAAACATGTGCCAAAGCTTACAAAAGACTTTTATTGAATGTGGCGTAATCCTGGAACACAACATAAATTATCGCCAAGGGACATCCCCACATCAGTAGTCAGCATGTTAGAGTTCCGCTGCTCCTTAACAGTAAGGTCGCTGTCTTGTTGGATCTCGGATGACTCCTAAAGTTGTTCTCCTCTGCAGAAATGAAAGCTCCATGGTTTCAGCCCTCAAGACACTGCTGTTCTTCACGATCCTGATGGTCACGCTGCCCATTGGACTCTACTTCGCATCAAAGGCGTACATCTTTGAGGGTAAAGTTTGTCACGCTGCATGCGTTTGTGTTTGCAGGGCAATGCCAGCCCTGGAGTATTTATATTGCCACAAACTGCCCTCTTCACCTAGTTTAAAATAGAGCTGGGCAATAAAACGATTATGATAATTATCGTGATATAGCAAAAGTTCAAAAAGTATTTGATGGACGAATAAACACTTTATATTTCTATTAACATTTTTATTTTATTTTGTTGAGGACTGACATTTTTTTATTTATTTATTTTTACTCCGACATGTTTGTTGAAAAACAAAATAACAATTGTTTTTAATGTGTTTGTCATTATTCTGACCTTAAAGAATAGTTTAATATCACAATCAACCTGTAACCAATCAGCCTGTAAACTTGAATGAAATAATGATTTGACATTTATTGTGAGAATTATTGATGTCTTGTGATATGAAATTTTTTATGGTGATAACATTTTTGGCCATATTGCCCAGCACCAGTTTAAAGTTAATAACTTTGCATAGTGACCAGAGCCTGATATTTATATTTGCTATTTGATAGTTTAAAAAAAAAAACAAATTTAGCTGATTTCTTTTACAAATCTATAATTATTAGTTAGTACATATTGTAAATGATCACAAATAATCCAATGTTTCTTGTCATATTGGCCAGCATTTGTGTGAATACAGTAACAAACTGGTGAAAAGCTAATATTGGCCAATAATATAAGCCTGCTAGTTTATCAGTCAGGCTCCTATAGTAACACTAAAAAGAGATGGTTTGCAGTATCCTTTCTTTCATCAATGAATAAACAAGACATTTATACACACAACCATATCTTCTAATGGGTCAGACTGTGGCTTGTATTATTAACTTTAATTTTATTGATGATGGCAACATTTTCTGTCTTGATATAAGTAATAATTTATTGGGATATTGATGTAGCGATACAGTACAATTTCTTGATATTCAATTGGGAAATCATGTAGAGATATACTATAAACGGGATGTTTATTTGTGGCCAATTATACATCTAAAAAATGTCACATTCACTGGTTTGTGAAAATCCTGTAAATCCAAATCGGACATGAAGCAGTCCTGCTCGATGGTTTCTGATATTGCCGACAATGACGCAGTACAAGATATCCACTGAATTGCCTACAACTACTCATGGGCATTAAAACAGGTTTTAAATTGTTAACTGTTCTCCACCTCCTTCTCCCAGGTTCGATGAAGATGTCAAGCTCTGACAGCTACTTCTATGCAGCCATTGTCGCAGTGCTCGCTGTGCATGTGGTTTTGGCTTTGTTTGTTTATGTGGCCTGGAACGAAGGCACGCCTAAAGAGAAGGGCAAACACGATTAAGGCACGTCCTTATCAGCTCGTAAGACCGGAGGAGATGGACAGACACGGGCATGGATCTGCAGCCCCCCAACCCACCATGGGCTAAACACAGCTCCATCTACCAACCAGACAGTTAGAGGATGTGGTTTGCGCTTAGGCTTTAACCCAAGGTTAAAGCAAGAAACTACGTTATTATACCCTGGCGCGGGGGAGTGGAGGCTGTTGGGTGTGTTTTTTCACCAGCCTCAGCAGGCCCGCTTTTTGACTTTTTGTTTTCTGAAAACGTTACGTTTGCTGACAGAGGATAGCCCCTATTTTTAAAGAGGCTTTGTTATAAGCTGCCATTTGGCTTTGTCCCTTCACAGTAAAGAGTTTGTCTTGTAGGAAAACATCTTGGGCTTTGGATGCGCGCACACTCACACTTTACTTATAATGTGTATGTATGAAGCATTTAATTCCAAAATGCGCTACATCCATTCTGTGGACATTAATCTCTACATTCATCCAGTTAGTGACTGAATATTTCATTTATCTTGTTCTTATCTTCATAAATTTAAAGATGACTTATAACTTCAGTATAAACTCTTAATGTTCAGACTTTCATGCTGCATTTTGGATTAAAATCTTCATATTTAATCATCATCTGTTTGTCCTCGTAAACAAATGTTTGTCTTTCTGTTTTTAAGTGTTTGGAATTAGAAAACTATTGCAAAATCAAATTGTATTTAAAGACATTTTTGTATTGAAGATGTTTGGTGATTTGAATATGTATGTTAAGTGGACGTGATGCTGATGAGAATGTTGACTTGCTCAAATAAACTTGAATATTTTAAACTTTTTTGGTGTTTCACATATTTTCAAAGGCTTTGTGCAATTTTTGTTGTACCGCTAAAACAATGCAGAATCTTAGTTTTGAATGTGGACAATGTGTAAATGAAACCCCTTGTTTCACAATTTACTATTGATATTCCCCATAAAGAATACCTTACTGTAATGATACAGACAAAATCAGATGCAAAAAATTAAGGTTTAAGGTTTCTTTTACATCAAGTATAAAAAGCAGTCCAATCTTACACTGGAAAGTTTGAGGTTAAAAATCAGTGGCTTAATCCTGCTACGTATAAAATATTTTAGTGGCTTAATAAAATCAGTTTTCATCTTTGAGAAAATGCTATGGTGAAACCTGGGATGCACATTTTTTAAATGAGGTCTGTTCATGTGATAAACAAGCTGTATCACACAGGAGACCATGATTTCCCCTACCATCTGTTGTGTAAGCTACACCAAACCAAAATATGTGCACTGGACTGCATGGGTGTGTATTATAGGTGCATTTATTTATTAGGGACTTTATTTCTGAGGAATGTCAGCTTACTTTTATTTTTCTTTTTAAGTCAAGATCAGAGCTGTTGTTGAAAAAATAAGTGTGTGAGAGACCATTCTGTGTGTCTTTCTCTGTCATAGATATATTTGCTATTGTGTTTATCCCAGATGCAAATTCAAATGTCACAACCATAAGAAGCCTGACATGCAAGTTTTCACTTTCACTAATTTAAATACCCTGTTTTTTCTCAGGCCTGATGGAGATTATAGTGAAAAGAATCAATCAAGTTGCCTTAACAGCACTAGCTTTCTCTCATGTCTGCTCAGACAAAAAAAGACCTTATTGCCTTCTGCAGAGTGTTCCAGCTGTCACATGGGGGCAGCAAACCTGTTCCAACATACAACACAACCTGGAAGCCAAGACCAGAACTGACAGATGCCAAGCCACAATGACGTTTTGTACCTCAGAAACCACGTCAGCTGCTGATTTCTCTCCATTTCCCTGTGCCCAGTCTCTGTAGTGTGGCTCCCACACTGTGTTCTGCAGAGTCTGGTGTTGGAGCTGTGCAGTCTGCATTGCGTTTAACAAGGCTGGTTGGTGTTGGTGATGAGGTGACAGGCCTGCAAGCAATCAGACTGATTCAGTCAGCAAACATCAGAAGCCCTGTTTTTACTTTTGGCTGATATTTCATAAGCTCACCCTTGCAGCACAGCAAAGTTGGTGCAAGGGCAGGCTTTGCTTCTGGCTCTTTGTCATTTATCACACATTAGCAGGTTGGGTGCACAGTGTCAGTGTGATGGAAAGCAGGCCAGAGAGCACAGAACACTTACATGAGTCAGGCATTAAATAAACACTTAATTTAAAATCAACACTCCTTGATGATTTCATTCTAATTGAACAGATTATACAGATATATAAAATTACATCACAATAACTACTGGCTATACCAGTAAGATAGGAATAAAACCAAAAATGGCATTACAAAATAAAAGGTGTCTCAGTGACTTCGCCCTGCAGATGGCGTGCCAAGCAGATGCAACTTTCAGAGGAGCTGCGTCAGTGTTTAAGTAAAAGGAAAGGGAGAGGGCAGTAGAGTACTGTACTGCAGCTGGTGGAACATAATATTCAAGCCTCTCACATCACAGGGAACAACCAGAATAAAGTGATAGAATAACTCATTAAATTATATCCAGAATTACATATAACCATGGCAGGGCTTTATTGTGTTAGTCTGTGCTGTTATTTCCCGTGAAACTCCACTCAGATACCTTTAAGAAGATCATTTCTGACTTTAGCGTTGAAGAAACAACCAAAGCCTCGATTCTCTTGATTAGGCTGAAGCCCTACAATTAAAATGACTAAACTACATATTTAAATGTATCTGGACACGATAAACTACAAAAACATTTACTAGTTTACACTATATTTTGTCTAAGTAGGTGTTTTGCTACAGATTGTATATTGTGTGATTTTATTATATGGGATTATGCCACAAACTGATTGGATTGACTGATTTTTAATTTAACTGAGATGTAATAGGAAGGCTGTTGCACTTTTCACATTTGCTCATAGTTTTTAAAAAATAGCCCCTTTCATCTGTAATTAAGGTAAGCTAAATAAGTAGACATAATGACCACTCAACTACATAATGAGTAAGTGACATTAAGACGCAATTTCACCTTCGCCAGTGTTTTAGGATTCAGAAAAAGGGGGAGGGTTATTATATAATGGGTTGTGTGTAGTCCATTTTTAAGGACAGTGCTGGAGGGTCTGTAATGAGTGGACATTATCTGTCCAAGGAGCTCATCATTTGTCACTATGCTACAGCAGCTCCCATCTTCACTTTTTCTGGATCTTAACAAAAAGCAAAAAATACTGCAAATGTGTCTGTTAAATGTGTCAAAAAATGTAAATGTGTGTCATATAAAGTGTCTTAAAAAAATAATGGCTGGAATATATAGTATAAAGGATGCATTATGCATTTGTTATGTTTACCATAATTATGGGAACTGCTGATTCCACTTATGCTGTGTGATTTGGAGGCCATGTGAAATTAATTATTTAATGAAGACAGCAACGTTTTAATTAGGTTAAATTCTTTATGCACTTTATGCACTAAATTATTCATCTTCTCTTGGTCAAGGGCAGGATCCAAAAAACAATAATAACATCGACAAGGGCCCCACTTCACCACAAAGTTAAACATAATGTTCAGCAACCTCTCGCCACCAAATTCATTTTTGTACAGTCCCTTGATGAACTGTGGTGAAATCACAATTTTTGTATAATCATTTAGAGTGCATGCTTTTACTTGCAGACCTACAAAATTCCAAAGCCATCACTGATCAAAGTCATGGCAGTTTCGGTCAAACTAGATATCTTTAGATTACACTGCTCTGTATGGTAAAATAATCTGATAGTTATGCTCATATAATAGATTCAACTTTTGTAGCTTTATTTGATTTATTGAAATGTGTCCTATAACTCCAAAAATGTGCTACACTGTATGTCTTCTATAATGTTCTGGCACTCTGGTGCAAACCCCAATTTGAAATGTTGGCCTTACACTAAAAGGATTTCAAGTGCAGGATATCCATCTTTACTCATAACTCACCGATCAACATCTCAAAAACACGTAAAACCCTTTTCTCAAAGATGATAACTTTATTATGTTTTTAAGATGATGCATGTCTTAAAACAACTTTAAATGACCTTCATGATTTATTTTCATTTGTAAAAGTAGATGGGACATTTTGTAGAATCAGATTCTGGTTTACTTAGTGATTTATGGAGCCGTACATCACAAAAAACGCTCCTGACTGTTTTGTCTGGGAGATCTCAATCATTGTTTCTGGCACCACAACACACTAAAGTTAAGAATAGTATGCCCAGACTACACTCAATCACATCTCAACGCATCGAGAAACAACAGTTGAGTCAATTCTTTTGTCAGAAATTTTACTCAAGTAAAAAAAAAAAAAATCTATTTGTTCGTCATTGACAGAAAATAATGAACGTACCAGTCCAAATATATGTTAGCGCTTCCTTGTCATGAACATGCTATATCATTCATTTCAAGGTTTTATACCAGGGGTGCCTGAGTGCTGTGCTTTCCTGGCCCACGTGAGTGTAAGATGTTTTTCACGCTCAACAGGTTGAAATGTTGTAGATACTAATAACTCAAACTATGGATTCTGATTTCTGAGATTCAGTGTTTAAAAAAAAAAGATTCCATTCCATATAATACATTATATATTGGAGAAACATTACCAATATTATTGTTTCCACTCCTGAACTGATCTTGATTTATTTGTTTCATGAATATGAAAAAACAGTTGCAACATGTGTTCCAGTGAAATGGTCCCCCTTTTTCTCCTGATAAAGACTTGAGATCACAAATGCACTGCTAACTTTGCAAATTTAAGACAGATTTATTTCAAGCGGTTTTACAAATATGGTTGTCACCAAGTGTTTTACAGAAAACAAATGACACAAACAGAGATATAAACAAAGATAAACAAGACAATGTGCTTATAATTATGTACTGGCTGGCTGTCACAATAAAGAGAGAGTACAAATGTGGGAACTCCTGAGACCAGTGCAATTTCTTTTGAGGCGCGTCCTGGAATTACGTACAGTATTCCCAGTGTCCAATGTGTTGTTGTCAGTTATTGCACAACTTTTCACTTCAAGTCTAAGCAAGTGAACTATGCTAGATGGTGACCTCAAAACTGTTTAAGGAAGTTAAATTTAACTATTCTCCCCATCTGATTTTTTAAAATGAGATCAGGCCAGCGTTGAATAAGAATGTGCCCTGGATGTTGTTCCCAAAGAGTTGCATTTTTGGCTTCATTCACATTCATCACACATAAAAAAAAAGAAATAAACTGAATGTAAAACCTGAGCAGACAGTACTTGTTAGACCCTCAGTGATCATGGTGAATAGTGGAAAGATTCATACCATACACAAAACCATTAAAAAACAAACAACTTTGACTGATAATATGGTGTTGCCAAAACTGAAAAGAAAAAGAAATGCTATGGGGCACTTCTTAGTGAATTTACTCAAAGAGGTCTAAGTTCATTAGTTTGTTTGTGATTATTGAACCAGTCTTTATATATTATACAACTGCAGCTTCACTGTGTTCCCTATAAATGTAACTCCCTTTTAAGTTGGAATGAGTCAAACCTGTGCCATCTTAAAAAGGGGAGTCAGTTCAGCATGTATGAATGCTTCCAAATCAAATACGATCCCCTCACCGCAATTTAAGAAGAAACATAAACCTCCTCATATCTTCAGATCGTCTATTCTAGTCTTGTTGCTGCTGTGTTTGGCACTGCGGCCGGGCCTGGCCTGCGTAGGTGACCCAGGGGCTGATCCTGCTCCCTTCTTTCCTTTCAGGTCACATTCCTCTGGCTTGCTGCTGCTCCTTTCCACCGCCAAGTTGTCCTTATTCTGTTTGTAGGCCGCCTTGCTGTGGTAGGGGTGGAAGGTCGACTCTGTGCCTTCGGACAGAGGGGTGAGGTTGTAGCTGGGTGCGGGCGGGTAGGCCGGCTGCACTTGGTGGAAGTAGTCGTCATAACTCGGCGCAAAAGGTATCTCGCTGGGCTCCTTAGGGATGTTTTCAGGGGACTGTCTACCTCTCCTGAAGGTGAGGCCCTGACGGCACTTGGTGAAGCCCAGGTGGTAGAGCTCTATGAGGTTTAGGAACAGAGACACGCTGGCCACTCCCAGCATGAAGATAATGAAGATGGTTTTCTCTGTGGGACGGGATATGTAGCAGTTTACCACGTTGGGGCAGGGTGGTCTGTCACATGTGTACATGGGTTTAAGTTGAAAGCCATACAAGAAGTACTGAGCCACAATGAAGCCCACCTCAAAAAAGGTTTTAAAGACCACATTAAGGACATATGTGCGCAAAAGCTCCCCCTGCAGGTGCACTCGGCCCCTACTGTCCCTCACCAGGGCCTTTTTGTGCTTAGCATCCACAATAAGAGCCTGCTTGTCTGAGTGATGTGCACGTTCCCTCTCCTTGTCGTCGTGCTTCTCCTCCATCCGCACCAGATGGAGGATGTGTCCCAGGTAGATCAATGTAGGCGTGGACACAAAGATGATCTGCAGCACCCAAAAGCGGACGTGGGAGATGGGGAAGGTGACGTCATAGCACACATTCTCGCAACCGGGCTGCTTGGTGTCGCAGGTGAAGCCTGACTGCTCGTCGCCCCACACCTTCTCTGTTGCAGCACTCAGGATCAGGATGCGGAAGATGAACAGGACGGTGAGCCACACCTTACCCACCACAGTGGAGTGCTCCTGGGCTTTTTCTAGAAGCTTTCCCAGCAGGTTCCAGTCACCCATGGCTGTGTGAGCTCAGATCTGGGGCTGGAGGTACAAAAACAATCAAACCACAGTATCTCACTTTCATTTGAGACTCATGCATAGATTTGTCTCCAACGCAAATACACAAAATTACTAAAATAAAACCAATCTGGAGGTCAAAGTGAGCTTCAGTGTTCCAGATGACTACAAATTCTCTGAAAAATCTCTTACCATGTTCAGCAGAGCTCAAACCAAATGAGTCCCCAGAAAGCCAAGCTACTAACCAAGAGTACAACTTGGGGACTTATTCACATGGACACAGACAGGATTATATATACTTTAAGAGGGTATATATTTGGTAAGTGTGGACAGACGGGAAGGCAGGTTCCAGTCACGATTCTGCGGTTCGTGGCCTTCATGGCCCATGCCACTGCAACACGATCCACAAGAGGTGAAATCAAACACCGGGCAGATATGGTGGAAGTGCGAGTTCGAAACAGCTGAGTAATGTCGGTACTGTCAGTTCCTGTAACACATTATGTTAAAAATATATTCTACTTCTGATGGATGTACTGTGCAGGGCAGCAAATTCAGGGTATGCTACTGTGAGAACTGCTGAAATGTGGCAGGTGAAATGTTGTTTAGGGAGCCACCACCAACAAATTGACAGTATGTAGTGTCGCAACAACTGTAAACTGGGGTTTAAACAAATGTAAGCTTTCAATATTAAACCCCTTAGACTATTTAATCCCCATGACAAAAGATAAAATGGTGCATTAACAATAATAGAAGAAATAAAAAAAAGGGGTTCTCTGTGGAGTGCAGCACCTAACAGGACAGTAAACAAAAGACAGCCTTTGGCCACAACATGTACCCCAAGTAAGTTTTCTACCTCTAACTCCTGAAAGTACTTTAATCCACAAGAGGTTTAAATAATCACACAGAAGTCACACTTACTGGATAAACCAACCTTGTCAGCTTATACATCCCCTGCGGTGAAGTCCTGCACCTCTTCGAGGGTCCATGAGGCCGATTGCTTTGCTGACAGGCCTCAGTGCAAAGCTGATCTTCGGGCTCCCAGCAATGCCCTTGAATGGACAGGAAAAGCGGACTTCTGCTAGTCACAACCTCTGTTCCACACCGACAAACTCACCGACTCCGTCTCCTGTTTTCAAATACAGCTTGGGCAGGAATCAGGATCCAGGGCCCGGGGTCTTCCAGTGACCACAACACACACGTAACCTGCACTCTCAACCATGTCCGGCCAGCCCTTCCTCAGACCCCCCATCCCTCCCCACAGTTAAATTTGGCACAGGTTACACTCTCTAATGTAAACTAGTAAAGCCCCTCTACTCGATTGTTACAGTGAGTGACACGGCAGCTGGCCAATGCTGTTGTCTGCTAAGTCTGTCTGGCCACAAGTGCTTCTGGGGTCTAAATATAGCACGAGGGTCTCTCCTATCATGGGGGGCATGATTTGGAGATGAGTAGCCATTTGCATCCTCAAGTTACAAATCAGAGTGACAAGAAGGAGGAAAGTCAGTGGTGAAGTTCAGTCTCAACATATCAGTAATGAAATAAGCCCCAAATTTTAAGTATTAAAATGGAAAACTTTGTTTATATAAGGTTCCTGCCCTTAGTCATTTGAAACATTTGGTACACCAAGTTGTATACTTGCAAAAATAACTCCAAATAAATGTCATATTATCAGGCAGTTTATTTCTTTATGTTACATAATGTACACATTACATTTCAACCCATATTATATATTAACTGGATTGTTTACCCGGATGAAAATTGATACATGTACATTTAGGTAGAAATGTCAACATCAGGGTTTTTTGTGTGCACTACAATATGAATAACTTTAGAACAGTTGTATAAACAGATACCAGCGTATGGGACGTTACATTTTCAGGACCAAAGAGACACTGAATAATATAGCATGCAGGATAATATTAAGGGAAGCACGTGCAACTGTCAGGCAGTGATGGGTCTTAAAGGTTAAAAAGTAGGTCAACCTCAAACATTTTTCTGAAACAAAATAGTATATCACCTCAAACAGAAGCTTCAGTGAAGTAAGTAGGCATCATTCACAATTGAACAGTACTGGGATTTGTAATATTCTAGAAGTGACCCAGCAGAGAGGTGAAGAGGGATTAAGAATGAATGAATTCTTGTAATTTGGGCTTTTCATCAGTTGAAAATCACGTAGCATCTTCACTAGTAAGAAAGATTCCAGAATGAAGCTCTATTGAAATATCACAGTAAACACGTTTAGTCTGTGCACCATTCTGACTACTCTGTCCAGATATATATTATTAATAGTAGTTTACAGTAGTAAAAGATATGTTTGTGAAAAAGTGTTTTCAAATGAACTGTATTTTTTACATGTGGAACAATAATATTCAATGGCAGATGTCCATATCTGGACAGTATTTGAAAATTTTCTTTGGTTTTCTAGCACCGGTATAATATTTCCATAGCAGTAAGCTCAGTTATAGCTGTCTGCGCAAAGTTACACAAAATCAAATAATTAAGTCTAATAAAATCTACACATACTGTTGCTTAAAGGGCCGTTATTGACATTTACTCACATAAATGAACCTTTCCTTGATTACCTCCATTACCTTTGACTCTGACTGGAATTAAATATGGTATATTAACAATATTTTTGATGTAAATAAAAATTTCACTTTCTATTCGGGCATATTAATCTCTACAGTAACCTTTGCTTCTTAAAACTTTACCAGCCGATTTACCAGAAACCATGTATACTTATATATTATATAGCATATTTCAATTTTAAATTATTATTTTTTTAAGTTTGTAATGTTATCGTGCCATCGACAGCTGCCCATTCCCTTTAATTGAAGAATGGTATGAAATTCGACATGTTAAGACTTCGGGTTACATTGTTAAGTGAACCATCCTGTTTTGCGTCAAGGCTATTTTATTGTTGTGTGGTAAAGCAGTTGATTGGTGCTTTTATGTGCTGGTGAGAAACTGACGACCAAGAATTGAGTTTCCCCAAACAGCAACCTTCATAATGTGAAATTGTAAATATTCATGTTATGTTTTTCAAATGAATGTTTGATGGGCATGATTTACCTTGTAAATTATTGATGGTTTCTAACACCAACCTGCCACACCTTCAGCATTGAACAAATGCAAAACCTGAACTGCATTATCAAACGACAAGGCACAAAGTATGACAAAAATGAATGATGGTTTGGTGCTTCAGTAGCACAAGAAACTTTGCACCATGGCAAGCTGCTTCTAGTACTGTATTCATATGAAAATGGCAAATTATTGACACCAGCGTCAACTGATTTGGGCTAAAACATGTGAGATAACTGGGAAGGTTCTTTAACCTTCACTACTGGCTCCAAATAGTTTAGACAAGTTCCGACAGCAGGTAACACTTGTGTCAGTAATACAGATAAAGAAAAAACAGCTGAATCAATAAGCGATTGACTGAATGATACATACATCGGGGAGGTAGAGCGGGTTGGCTGTTAATCGGAAGGTCGGTGGTTCAATCCCTGGGTCCCCCTGGTTGCGTGTCGAAGTGTCCTTGGGGTGTACTGGGCAAGATACTGAACCCCGGGCCCCTGGCGGCTATTCCGCCAGTGTATGAATGAGTGTGACTGGTGAATGCAGATGTAGTGTAAAAGCACTTTGAGTGGTCGAAAAGACTAGAAAGGCGCTATACAAGTATGGATTTACATATATAGTCTAAATGTGCATGCTGACATGATCAAATATACAGTATATTTGACATTAATGCATAGCAAGATGATCCATGGATGTGTGTGATTACTGTTAGTTTAAAGGAAACAGGACAGGCAGAGTCTCAGAAAGCAGAACACCGTTCATCCTTCTCAGTTGGGCTCTTTTTGGTCACAGTGAACTTAGACTTGAGAGAATGATCTGCTATCAGCTGATTGATTTCATTTTGCCTATAAGAAGACAATCTTTGACTTATCCAAGCTCCTTTGGACTCGTCCTCAGAGCCTCTTAAGCACCGTTTGCAGGCCCTGCCTATGAGGTATATGACCTCAGCCAGGTTAAGCAGCACACACACCCCGGACACTGTCAGCATGAACACAGTGAAAATGGTCTTTTCTGTCGGTCTGGACACAAAACAGTCCACTGTGTTGGGGCATGGGTACGAGTCACACTTGACCAAACGCACCATCTTAAAGTCAGGATAGATCAAGTAGAAGATGTAGAGAAAAGCCACCTCGAAGATGATTCTGAAGAGGATACTGATCATGTATGTCCACCACAGAGCTCCGGTGATCTGAAACTTCTGGTTCTTGATGTGTTCCAGCTCCTTGGGGCTACAGCGACCCGTCCTCTTCAGGATCTTCTTGTCGATGTGGCGCCGGTGAGCCACATGCATGGCCACCAGCAGGGCGGGGGTAGAGACCAGGATGAGCTGGAGCGCCCACAGGCGGATGTGCGAGATGGGGAAGAACTGGTCGTAACAGACGCTGTTACAGCCGGGCTGCTGGGTGTTACAGATGAAGCTGGACTTCTCATCTCCCCAAACACTCTCAGCAGCAACCACCAGGACCAGGATACGGAAGATGAAGATGACGGAGAGCCAGACGCGTCCGATGCCAGTAGAGTGCCTGTTTACGCCGCTGATCACGGCATAAAAGGCCCCCCAGTTCATTTTCGACTCCAGGTCTGCAAAAAATAAAAGGTTACATTTTCAGTCAAGGCTATATGGATGTAGGCTAAGCGATATATCTAGCTGGAGGTCAACTGTTAGAACCATATTATTAATGTATTACAATATACATTAAGGGGATTTAATCAAAATTCATTAAAATGCCTCTCAGGAATAGTAAAACCCAATTAGCTCTTCATATTGAACAAAAGTCAAATTTGTCACTTTAAATACCTCACAGTTATTGTTGTCTTCTACAACAAATTAGTAATTTAGTAAAAGTCTAACTTTACCAGGGTCAGCCAGCAGTGCAAGCGGCGTAAGGTCCAAAGATGACCATCTTGTGGTGTGGCGTGAGCATCAAGCTGAATTTGGCAGAGTGAGAAACCACAGAAAAGAAATGCCAAGTCGCAAGTTGGCCGTATAAAAGCACGGCCTACCACCGTGCACCGTCATAAGACACAACAGCACGAAGCCAATTGCGAAACATTTGCAGTGGCACGTGATTTGCTCACCCTGTATTAATACTGTACTCCCAAACTGACCTACAGCCCAGTTGCAGACAGACTGACAGACTGCCAGCACATTTCTCCAAGGAACCAGCAAGACATCCACTCATTATGATATTTTTTTTAAGAAAAGTGAGAGACCTCCATTGTTTGTCAGAAAGGCTACAGAAAGACTTGACCAGATTTGCCTAACAAACACTCTTTAAAAGCAGATTCATTCAAATATTAACACTGTAAAGGATCATTTAAAACATCATCATGGCAATGGGGTTTGTCAGCCATCACTCACAATAACCGTGACCTCATTCCACACTGTTAGTATAAAACAGACTTAAATGACAGACTTGTATTTTACCTTCAGCTGTGTTGGTACACAAAAATGTGTACAAAGCGGGAAGAAATGAATTAAAATATTATGCTTTTTAGCAAGCCAAGAGGCTGGATTGAGAACACCGTGCGCTTGAAAAATGCTAATCATTTCTCCGCCACTAGCCACTGCCCTGCACCGTAGCAGTCATATGCTCTTATATAAACTATTTACATACAATGGCGGCCTTTATTGTGCTGCAACAAGACTCTTTAGAATTCAGATCAAATGCCTCGATTTCCGCCTACCCCGGGCAAAAGAAGGAATCTGTGTGGACACAAAAGGCCGTGCTTGGCAGGGCAGGGAAGTGAGGGAAGCTTTTGACCTGAGCCACTGCCATTGACAGCAGAGTCTCCACCACATTTGCAAACACTAATATAATCTTTATTGTATACACAAGTTTTAATTAAGACCAGTCATTTTTTGTAACATATCCACGTCACCAATGTAAATACTACAATACTTTAAATTAGGCATATGTTGTGATGAATGAACATGACATTCATTTTTTGTGAAGTTTTAATAATTAAAACAAGGGAACTCTCTTGGCCTAAACTATAATTACTTTAGAATAAAGACTAATAATTACTTTAGAATAAATTTTGGACACAAATTCAACCCACATGCTCTCCTTTTCATCCTGTTTTGAAATGATAAGGATCTGGGTCTTTTACCATTATCAATCTGAGATTGTTCAGGTCAAACTCCTCCCTATAACAGTAGAAATGACAATTTACAGTAACAACAAACTGAATGCAAGTGAAAACACAATGTAGTCATTTGTCACGTACTATCAGATGACCTACAGCAGTTCACTGTGCCATGAGCATTTCTGCGTCACTTATGACAAATGTAGTAGGAGGGTTTGGGTGGCCTGGCAATTCTTTGAATGAACTAAACCTCATTTAAATTCTCTCAGAAGATGCACTACTCTACAATACAGGGATATGGGGCATACAACTGTAGATACAGTTTTATTATGGAAGCAGATTTTTTAGATAGATAGATAGATAGATAGAGAGATATAATATATACAGAGAGAGAGATAGAGAAAGACTGTACATCCAAAATAACAAATCTGCCATTTTACAAGAACTCAATATTAACTAAGGCAACATGGCTCTAATAATAAATATTATCAAAGTAAAGTAAAACATATAAATGAAATAACATGAACCTACAGTGTGTGGCATACAGATAAATCAAGTATCACTTAATAGAGGGCAGGTAATTACACTGAACTGGCACCATCTAGTGACTCGAATAACCAGAACTTGAAACACACTTCCTGTCTTAAGAAAATGTACAGAATGCAGACACACAAAACAGTGTCTTTATAAGCAAATAAAACAACAAAACATGCACCATAATTAGGTATTCGTGTCCCCACACATCACATAAAAATTATTCTCGTTTCCCCATTTTTCTAGCACTGCTTTAAAGATAATAGGCACGATGTGTTAAGACTCTAAAAAGAGTAATTTATGTTAAAGAAAGACCAAAACAGAAATTTCCACTATGAACTTTACACTCACAATCACTAGAAATAGCTTGTGAAGTGTACCTAAAGCATAAAATACACAAGGAAGCTGATACATGAAACTAAATGGGTACTACTTCAAAACATTCATCTGTATTTATATTTTATTTATGTAAAAATTCTCAATTTATCCTTGTACTGAAAAGTGCCAATTACAGCAGTTTGTCAATGTGTAACCTTTACTTTACGCCCACTGTATGTTAACTAACTACACAGATGGTCATTCAAAACCGGATCATTTAAGAACCAATACATGTCTCAATGCTCAAATGTGGCTGCTACATAGCAGGGCTGCCATTTGTGTTTTTAACTTAACATAACTACACACATTCCCTGCTTTCTGAATTACTTCTGGCTTTGAGTATAGCACGAGATGAGGTATTTCTCCCACTCAGAGTCATGTTTCCTCATTTTAAGTTGAACAGCACCTAAAAAGCAAAAGAAAACACCAACAAGATTTTGTGCTTGAGTGAGTGCTGCTGTGATCATTTACAGGCTATACTGCCACCTACTGTAGATGCACAATTTGGGGTAAACTATTTCCAAAGTGCAACTCAGCTTACCTCTTTTTATGACACCGAAATTCTTCAGTTTGTTATGTTTTGCATGTCCGTTCTGGGCCAGTCTCAAAGACAGTGATGCACCCCTCCTGAAATGTAGATAACACCAGAGTACACATACTGGCCTTGAAACTGTCCAGTAAATACAGATTATAAAGGTCAACATGAGCATATATTAAGACACTAAACTAATCTTCATTCATCAAAATAAATCATTTGTGCAATAACAGCTGGTAAAATAAAACAAAAGGGAACACTTGTTGGCAGAAACAACCATAGATGTGTCAATAAATCTCAGTGACTTTATCAGCTTTTTACAATTCAGTGAATTCTAAATTCACAATTAACTGACTGTGAATTATAATTAAATACCTCATAGCTCCGAGCTTTCCCTTTTCCAAGAACAGCTCGACTTTGGGCCCCTGTGGGTAAAGTCTGGCATAGAGAGTCCTGTTGTGCACCATTGCTTGGAACCAGTCTACTGCCTCCTCAGTCCAATCATTCCCATTCACTGGGGTCACCTAGGGGGGAGGAAACAGACAAAAAATACCATGAACTGAGATAATTCATTTCCTTTATCACTGAGCAAAAGATAAGACTGTGACTAATCATGTGGACAAAAGCCAATACTGTAACTGAGTCTGCTCTCTCACAGCGGAGCACAGTATGTTAACCATTTCCATGTATGCAAATCCTGAGAGGGATAATCTGCACGTCTGTCGGTGAAAATCCTGACGTGCTCTTCAGTGAGAGCTTTGTGTGGTACGCTACATACATGTGCAAAAAGTATGAAGTCAGCATTGTCAGAAGGGAACCACTCACATTTGCCAGTGAGACCTGTATCGCCTGAAGGGGTAGGGTGGCCATTTCTGGGGTCAGCTCCTTGGTGTTCCACAGTGACAGGCAGGCAGTGTCACCGTAGTCCAGCCTCTTCATCTCCACCTTGATGGACGTTTCCCTCCCAGCACCGTCAATGGCATTATTATCTGCCGCCCAAAAGACAGAGGCCACGGCTAAGGTTAAGCTAAAAAGGCATGTAAGGAATTCCCAAGTGGCAACAGGCAAGCAAAGGCACACTGCTACCATCTAGAGGTATGTATTTGCAAAACCATTCCAATACATTAAACCGGACCCACCTCCACTAACTCCACATATCTTCGTCACCTGAGCCCTGCACCATTGTTCTTGCTTAGGGAACCAACCCATTACTTGGGTTCCAATGTCTGGAATGCAGTTCTGCTCGGCATATGAACTACTGGCTTTCCAGCTGCTGCAAATGAGAAAAAAATAATGACAACCAGAAACATGTGGATTATTAAAAAAAAGGAAAAAAAAAATCTACAAAGAAAGCAGTAATGAACAAAAAGGATAAGTGGCTCTCTAAGTTCTGTTAATGTGATCAGGGAATCAGTGCGGGATAGGAAAAGCTGAGGAACAGCAGAAGGAGTTTAGAATCCATGCTAAACGACTTACTCTGTGACAAGGGCCTGCAGCTTCATGATGGAGTCTGTGTGCTGGACGTAGAAGTTGCTTGGGGTGACAATATGAGACACCACAACTTCAGCCTCTTCAAACTTCCGGATCTGAAACTCAGGAATGGTAATACTTTTGATCGCTGGTGTTTTCGCACCAGCAGAACTGCTCTCATGTACAGGTTCTGTGCATTGGAGAGTTTGGGTTTCCCACTGGATGTTTACACAGGAATTCTTCTCACGAGCGGTTATATTTCTGCTGTTATTTTCCAAGGAGCTGTCTTCGGAGTCCCCCTGTCCCTCCTTTGTGAAGACGTCTCCAAAATCCCACAATTCAGTCTTTGTTGCAATCACACAAGTGTAGGTAAGAGAGCCACCTGATTCTACTCTTTTCACCCTGAAGACTGGGGCTTGGTTTTCAATGTCTGCACTCAACATTTTTGGAGCTAACGCATCAATCAGATCATCTGTCACAACATGTCTGAATTGGTAGCTTTGTGTTTTGATGGCAGGTGACATGAACTGTGGCAAACTTGAAGTGTCCTTACTTTTCCTCCACTCCACGACACTGACCTCTAGTACACCCATGTTTTTAGCTTTTGCTCTGAGGAAGTGAAGCAGCTGAGAGGATGTTTGTTTTTGGTGTTGCACCTGGACATCTTCCTCACACCCCCAGCTTATTAGCGGTGCAATTTTCATTGGTTTAGGGTTACTGATCTCTGGGAGTATAGCTTGTATGGGAGGTAGCAGTATTGGTGGCCTCTCTGCATTATTCGTGGAACTCTGAATAACAGGTGGAAGAGTCACAGCATCTGGCGGGCGTTTCTCCTCAAAAACAACACCATGTTCTTTTTCTTCAGCTTTTAAGTGAGAGGGCGAGCTCGTGGTCACAACGGTGCTGTAGCTGGACGACTTGCTGCACATCATGTCATCCTGCTGGATTGCTGCGGGCTGGGAGATGAGGAAATGTTTCAACTGCTGATGAGACAGTGTGGCTCCAAGCACCTGGACTGCTTTGGCTATGGAGCTCGCCATGAGCGAGTTCTGCAACATGGGCCCAAACTTGAGAACATCTGTCATTAGGATCCCTTTATCTTTGAGTGGATGAAGTTGGTTTGTTCTCACTCCATTTTTGACACCAACTTCTGGCTCTGTAAGGATGAGAAAAACAGAAAGACTGTTTTGTTTAATTAAGTTGCATTGAAAATTCCTAAATCACACACTGCACACCCGTATAATGCTGGTGATAGATAAGACAGATATTATATCAAGAAATGTGGTACATTTGACTAACGCACGCATTTCTGCAAATCACATTAGCAGTTAAAACTGTATGATTAATGCTCAACTTACCAACCGTGAGGTCCTTTAATGAAGCTGAGAGCTTGACAATGGCTTGACATTTCGTATCCAAAGCCTGAGCAAGATCCTTGAAAACACTCGTGGGAAAAGATGAATTCAAGAAACCTTGAACACCTTCATAAGCCTGAGTGATAAATGTGATAAAAGTTTATTTTTTATTTTTTTATTTTTTTATTCTATATCAAATAACTTTGGTTTTTCAGATTGATATATTATCTTGGCTATGGGAAACTGGGATAACCATTTTTCTGCATCTTACAGAGTGACTTCACATGATGAAACATCAAGTTAGTTGATAAATTTAATTATTAAATCAAGAATGAAAATATTAATTGATTGCTGCTCTGGCAACAATTACATGCAATTTTAATTTTTAATTCAAAAGGTACCTTACCTTGCCACCTCATTACCTATTATCATATATGTTAGCAGGGGTGGCAGACGGTTTGACCACCTGGCCTGTGTGCTTACTAGCTAAAAGCTAAATTAATTTACAGATAATGATAAACTGACATGTTAGGATGTGGGAATGTTAAAATGGCGTTAACTTTACCTTGTTGGTGAAGTTAAGAAGTTCTTGTTCAAGTGTATTCCGGGCACTTTCCAGCAAAAAGAGTTTATAAGTTAACTGCACTTTCTGGGTGATTACGGAGGGGTGCGCCTGGCGGTTGACAACTTGCTGATGAGGAGTCATGGTTCGTCTGGGAGGAGAGCTGCTGCCGGAGCGTTAGCTAGGTAGCCTGCCAATTAGCTATATGCAGCTAATATTGCAACGAAGTCCTTAGCTGTTACCAGTTTTGACTGCACTCTTTCACAGCTTTAGGGTTTCTGGTTGTGGAGGGTTAAAGTGCAGCAATTCTTCTTTTTCATCTTGTTCTTGTCTTTGCTGACTTCTTGTTCGCGGTCGTCAGTGAAATGTATCCTGCTCTTTCTTCAGCCAACGACAGCAACCTGAGGAGCCTGTGCCCGCCATGTTGAAAACTCTGCTTTGCGTTTGCAGCCGAAGCAGTTATCTCATTTGAAGGAAAGTAATGGCGTAACGTTAATTTTAGTGGGCGTCCTGCTCTTTCTTTAGCTTATTTGTCACCATAGCCCAAGTCAGTAAACTGACCAACGGTTATTAACAGGTGGCCTCTTCCTGATGCTGAACTGCTTGAACTGTGTCCTAACAATAACTAACAACTGGGCTGTATCGTGTATATGAAGGAAACAATGAATATTTAAGACCACAAGGAAATAACCTATAACTCTGGATAGGCACAGCTCATGCTACTGAATTATTAAGTGAAATCTAGCAGAATCCCAGATTCAATCAAAAGCTTCCTACAGTGATGGATGGTGTGATATGATCTGTTGAAATGTAATTAGGAAGATGGTTACTGGGTGAATTACTCTGTTCAATCCATAACATTACTATTTTTACATACAGTAGCCTGTATTACATTTCTTGTTTGAAGGTCAAAGAGCTCAGTTGAAATAGGGATGTCCTGATCACACTTTGCACTCTGAACACCTACTTTAGGCCTACTTGGCCAATAAAGCGGATTCTGATTGTGATTGACCTCTTGGCCCTTTGATATTGAGTATCTGCCCATATAGAGTTCAATCCAATAATTCAAAAAGTGGCATGTGTCCTGAATTTGTAATTGTTTGCACCGAGGACAAAGAAGAAATTAGAAGAACTTTTTGGGAGGAGGGTCACAATGCATTTAGATTAGATTCAACTTTATTGTCATTGCACAGAGTACAAGTACTGAGACAACAAAATGCAGTTTTGCATCAGTAAGTGCAAAGTAATAAAACGTGTGTAAAGGTAATACATAGAATAAACTGTAGGGGTAGATATAAATAGGGTAAGTATGAAGTGAGTACCCAAAGATATGAAGATATTTCTAAAATCAACTGCAATGCCAGTTAGTGTGCTACAATTGAGGAACTGAATATTACTGATGTAAGACACTTGCAAGGATGGGGTTTACTTAAAATATAGTTATCCTAGATGGAGAGACTGACAGTGAGACAAGCTTTTAATACTTGCTAACAAACAAGCTGCTGCTAATCTCTAAATGCCAGCTACCATTAACCACCAAGTATAAGAATGAATACAATTTGCTACTTGCATTCCTATGGTTTTACACCCAATACTATCCACACAGTGTTCTTTTCTTTCAGTGCTCTTTGCTTGAACTTGTCAAGCTGCTACTTGATCTAGTACCTAAATCTTGTGGGTGGGGCAACAAAGACATTTCCTACAGTTATATTGCTCAAGAGCCAGATTGATCGTCACCCTGGCTCTTTTGACACTAATGCTGGCATCGCAGCCCTGGCTCTACCCAGTTGACAAAATGGTAATGGCCATTATAATTGCAAAATGGCACTTTGCATCAGTTTAAATAAGAAGGATGTGTCAATAAAATGACAAAAAGAGGATTGCTCAACAGGATATCCTCCTGCAACAGCAGTTTCTCCCTAGTATGCTCTCAGCTTCTTGCTGGGATTGTAATGAAATCTTTAGAATTAGGAACTCTTTTCACTGCAGATGCATTTTACACTACACAGCTTTTATTTATGTTTCAGCTGACAACTCACCGCATTATCTGTGGCTCAGCAGTGTGGGATCAAGTTTGTTCATGTGTTGTTAGTTTAATATCATTTTAATGATTATGTGCTACATAGAGAAGTCTGATTTTATGAAAAGTAGGAGATCCAAATTCAGTCAGATTTATTGAGTGAGAATGAACCTCATACTGAGTGATAGTAGCCCTTTAACATTTTATGACTTGGTGGAATTCAAGTTGCTCAACTGAAAACAGAAATTCACACACCTCAGTGATTGATTTAGCAGGTTTAGGAATGGGGGATACGTTTTCTAAAATGAAGACTGTCAAGATATTGTGGTTATTAAGTACAGGATGTTTATTATATACAGCATAACTGTTGCCACATATACCACTGTATTGGATAACAGTCTGTCAGAGTCAGAGCCACATAAATCATATATTACAAAACACAAACAGATAGGGACGTATATTAAAATAGACTTTGAATATACATACTGTCAAATAAGCAAGGTCTCTTACTGGCGTTGTGTTGAACTTTTACAGGAGTTCAGTCCAGATTCTGGGAATGTTGTGTAAGGTCTCACAGACGTCAGAAAACTTTGAGCCAAGGTTAAACGCTTAGTCGCAAACAAACATTTCACAATGAAGGATGGGCAAAAAAATCTTCGCCTTATTAGTGAATTTGGCGTAACCAAACAGCTTGGGAGTTGATGAAGCCAATTTCAATCACAACATTTCAGCTGCACAGGTCACAGAACGTGACGCATGTCCTACAGACTAGTAACGTGCAGGAGAGTCATAAGAGAAAGCCTGAATGGAGATGAGAACAGAATCATGTGTCAGACGATGTAGATTTTACTGCATTTGATTCATTAATTAACTATTAGTTTTTACAAAGCAGCCATTAAGCCCCACATCTGTTTATAGTAAAATGGGTCATGCAAAATGAAACTCATGGGAAGTATGCTTCAAAAAACCCCCAATGACAATAGATTTTAGATATCACACAAAAAATGATCCCTGTGTGCAACACACCTTCCTGGTGAATATGATGAGTACTGTTAATATTACACTTACAAATAAAACTATTATGATCAATTGTCCAAAGTGAATTTCCTGTGCTTTTGTATGAGACAAACAATACACTGAAGGTTTTTTCAGATAGCCTGTGATCATAATGTTTCCATCGCCTGTAACACATACAGTGTCACTGAGATCAGTAAGGTTTATTTTCAACTCCTGTAGGATTGTCAGCCACTTACTGTCACAACAGTTAAAATAATTTCCACTAATGTACATAAGATTGAGGTGTACAGATAAAGCAAGAATCAAAGAATAGTTTAAAGACACAAAATTATTATTTCTTATATCAATTTCTCTCAGAGGGGAGCAGCTCAAACTGCTGGGCATCATATCTAGATGGTTGTTCGATATGTTCAGCTGAGTTAATGCTGGCATGCAGGGTAAAGATAGATCAGAGCTGGTCATGTTTATTTCACTGACAACCAAGGACTGAAGAGTCTTTTGCACACCTTCTAATGCCCCCACTTGCATTACCATGTGTGAATTTCTTGCAAGGTTCAAGGAAATCAAAGAGGTTTTTTGAAACGTGTTTGGGTGAAGCATTTTGATGTTGTTTTCTTTAAGACTGAGGTGTTTAAGAGTCCTTAACTGCCCGAACACAACACAGGATGTGTTGAAATTCATTTCCTCTGTTGATTGAGAGCTTTGCAAATGGTCCGTAGACGCACAAGGTTGCACAGAATTGTCTCGTAGATTTAATGTTTCTATTTGTGTAAGTGCATTGAGAAAGAGCGGGGAAATATATGCAAGTCCATTGCTTTGCAGGTCAAGGTACTTTAAGGAGGGAAAGAACAGCTGCCGACGGTATCCTGATTCATTATCATTTCTAAAATTCAATGTGATGTTTTGCAGGCAGTTGTAACTGAAATTCAGAGTTTCTAAAGATGAGAGAAGGCTCAAAGTCTCCAATGGGAAAGACCTGAAGTGGTTATAGCTCAGGTCAATATGAATCAGTGGCATCAGCCTCCAGTTTGAGTGTAGGTTATTTTTTCTAACTGTTTTCTCACTTATAATCTCATTATAAAGAGCGTTGGCCTCAGACACCATTGTAGCCTCTGAATTTAAGGCACCCACCATATTATTCTGCAAATAAAGATGCTTCAAACTGTTCATTTTTGGAACAATTGGGAAATAAAGGAGTTTGTTGTGACTCAGATCAAGAATTTCAAGACTGTACAACTGGTTATCCTCACGAGTAACAAAGAACTCGACTGAATTTCTACTGAGATTCAGATATTTGACTTGATGTAATTTAAAATCACAGATATATGCAAGGTTATTTTTGGCCAAGTTTAGCATCTCCAATTGGCTTAATGGTTCAAATGTCCCCTCTTCTATTACTGATATCAGATTGTCATCAATAGTAATGGCCCTCAAACCTTTACTCTCTTTGAATAAGTTGTGTGAAAGTCTTGTTAAAGCGTTACCAGTCATCTTAAGTCGATCAAGAGAAGATTTGTTTCGAAGGTACAGTTCCACAGCATCATCCCTCAAACCGTTCATTGATACGTCCAAAGTCTTCAGCCTACTGATGGATTGGAGTGCTCTGCTGTTACTGCCAAGGTTGTTGTTCAGCGCATTTCTGGACAAATTCAACTCTTCAAGTCGAGCCAGGTTTTCAAAAGCCCCTTCGGATATGAGATCCAGCTGGTTGATGCTCAGGTCCAGCTGCTCCAAGTATGGCAAAGCAAGTGTGTGCAACTGTCTGATGAAGTTATTGGACAGGTCTAGTCTTCGAAGCCTTACATCCAAATCCAGAGGGACAGAATAGAGATTCTGGTTGTTCCAGGACTGCTCCTTGAAATGAAAGGAACATTAATCAGAATTGAAGTGACAACCAAAGTCAAACAACCTTAGCAAAACCAGTAAAAGTGCATGTTAAAAGACTAAAAAACTAAAAGCAATCATATTACACTTTTCAATTAGCATTTAAGTTATTCAAATTGAGCCTACCTTTGGCTCATAATATGTCAATCCAGTTATAAGGAGGTCATGGCTGAGTGACCAGAGTAGTAGGAGATGAGAGAACATATGTCTGACCATTCTCCTTCTGCTGCTGCTTCCGCTGCTGTGAAACTGTACCACGACTGTTATCAGAGCTCATATACACACTCACACACACCCTCTTATAGCCATGCTTCATTAAAAATAAATAAATAAATAAATGGGGGGTTGGGACAGCTGTGGGCACCAGATAGACATTGTGGATACTATATTTAGACAACATGGCTTGGCCACTGATATATTACTTTCTTTTAATAAAACTTCCAGCAACCTTTTGATTTGAATAAAAGCGGGTTTTTAAACAAATGTTTTCACATTTATGTGTTTAATGTTACAAGTTATACAGATACATACATTCAAAATTAGTTATGAACAGAAATACCAATTGAGACTTTATTGTTTTTTGTACAAAGGCAAATTATCCCATTTGTAAGAACTTTTATTTTATCTGAATATATTAAAGTATTTACAGTGTCAAGCAAGAGTACGTGTCAACCAGGAAAACACCTCCCGTGCGATACAAATTTATACCTTTGTTTGTTCCTGACAGTCAGAAAACGGAAAACCATTCTAAAATAGACGAACAGAGGAACAGATAAACAGACAGGGCGGAGGTGGAGCTGGTGCTTGATGCTAAAATTAACTGATCACCGGAGGTGGTAGAACACATAAACAATGCGATGGAACAGGCCCTGGTGGACAACCTGAAATATACACTTTAATGGTTTAAAGCTAAAAGGGTTTAAAAGCAGCAAAAACAAACAACAACAACAACAACAAAAAAACAGACATGAGATGGACAGTTCATTAAAAAAGTTCATTATGTATTTTGACAGGTCCCACCAGTTTTCCTGCTGCTGTCACTCGGTCCTTTATCAGCATGCCCTCACACAGCTCAGTGTGAGTTTCCTACATCCTGTACATGCTGTCAACATTTCACTTTAGCTGTATGACACCAAAAAAGGTATATTCTCTGTCCATAGAAATGAGGGCTTGGGGCCTGCATGGTATCACCAATTCTAGCTCATCGCCCTGGTGCAGCTGCACTATTCCTGTGACAAGAGGATAAGAAGGCATCAGAGGAGATGAGAAAAATTTAAGGAAAAACTGAAATAAAGTAATAAGACCACCATGAGCAACTTCAGTTCTACTTGGCATAGACAATTCTCTGGAGCTGTACTGTAAGGTATGAACATCTTCCTCACAAAAGATATTCCCTTGTTTAGTGTTTGAGTGAATGGGAGAGGCTGCTAAAGTTAAAGGAATAGTTTTGCCCAGAGTTGGTTAAGAAGATCGATACCACTGTTGCAAGCAGCGGGTTAGCTTAGCTTAGCACAAAGAGTGTAAACAGAGGGAGGCAGCTAGTCTGGCGCTGTCTAAAGGTAACAAACTCTACAAAACCTACCAACACCTATAAAACTCACAAAATGAACACATAATATTTATTTTGTTATGGGGGTTATGTGTCTGACTATTTCTTGGTCAGAAGCATTCTGGCAACTTCAGGGTGATGATGAGATCAAAGTCCCTTTTCCACTGGATAGTACTAGCTCACCTGGTACCTCATGCCTGGTAGGTTTTTAGGTATCACCTCCATTGAGGTTCCAAGCAAGCTGAGATGATAAACTAATCAAAAGGTGACGTGAAAACACTGCAGACTACTGATTGGTCAGAGAGAATCGTCACTATTCACTACATCATCATTGCGCGGGGTGTCCTGAACAAACTCGCCATTTTTAAATAGTTTATACTCTCTGTACTTAACTTTATTATTATTAAAGTGTGTGGCGTTGAAGATTACATGCCATTCGTGATGACGAACGGCAGGGCACCAAAAGCATAGTAGAGTAGAGGCGAGTAGAGGCAAGTTGAGCAAGTACCAGCAATGGGTAAGTCCCTACTCCAGTCCAAGAAATAGTACTGCAAGGCACATAGGTCTAATCCCACGTTTAAGCAAAGTGTCGTTTTTACACATATTAAGCAAACAAGGTATATAAGTGTAGGTAGGGAAATTAATACTTTAAACAGAGCCAGGCTAACACGTCTTTGTGCTAAGCTAAGCTAATCATCTGCTGGCTGTAGCTTTACTGTGAAGACATAAGAGTGGTATCAATCTTCCCATCTAACTGCAAGGAAGCAAATAAGACTTTCTCAAAATGTTGAACTATTTCTTTAAAGGTTCAGTGTGTAATATTTAGGAGGATCTATTGACAGAAATTCAATATAATATACATAACTATGTTTTCAGTGGTGTATAAAGACCTTACATAATGAATCGTTATGTTTTTATTACCTTAGAATGAGCCATTTCTATCTACACAGTGGGTCCCCTTATATGGACGTCGGCATGTTGCGCCGCCATGTTTACTACAGTAGCCCAAATGGACAAACGGCTCTTCAGAAGGCGTTTCATTACTACGTTGAATACGTACACAGAAGAAGAAGAAAAACAAGTAACATTAGAAGTAATAGTAGTCGACTTGTTTATTAGAAGTAAGAAAATAAGAGAGAGGACCACACTATTATTTAGCACAAGAGCTGAGAGAGCTTGTCGGCCCCCGTAGCTTCTTCCGCATGCTTGGAAAGGGAGTGGTGAGCAGTGCATTCATGTGGTGTCAGAATAATCAGAATCCTCCTTAAATCTTTATTGCAAAAAGAGAAATAAGGTGTACATGGGACATAATGAAGTATACAGAACTTTGATTCATGCAAAATCACGTATTGCATGAACATAATTTTCAAACATGTAATTTGTTATAACGGCTAGTTTGCCATACAGTGAACTAGATGTCTGCATGTTGTTTAAATGCTCTGATAATGCTAATCCAACACATCTTTGTAGTAGTGTCCATACTGATTCCACATTCCGACTTAAGAGCACATGAACACACACTGAAGTCGCAAGTCGACTTCACAACTCGATAAATTTAACCATCCGAGGAGCATGTGAATGCACTGTGAGCCGCTGGTTGCAATTTGCAACCCTCACCACTAGATGCCACTAAAACTTACACACTGAACCTTCAAGCGGCCGACAGTGGTGCCTCACTGACCTGCAGTGTAGCATGTGTTGGCAGGATATGAATCAGGCATCCCATGCAGGCAACGCAAGAGCTCAGTCGGTGTCGTGTGTGCTTCAGCGGAGCCCCAACTTCGAATAGTATGACCCATGACTAGGCTCGGGCCTTCGAACAAAACCTGTGAATTAAGCAGAGCATTAGCGGAATAGTTGGAACAAATCAGATGTAATATCAACTTAGTTATGCTTGAGTTACAGTGACACAATACTTGTCCAAACACCAAGTAATAACCATCTTCTTGGACAACAATTCTGTTTTCCTTTTGTGAAATTGCAGTTCCTTGCTGTGCAGAAACAGTCCAAGGGATCACTGTTATATTTCCTGTGGGAGAAGGCAAGATACACTTATTCATAATAATGGCATACGGTGCGATGCTGAAGCCAAAGATTTGAATTTAGTTTTACCTCTTGTGTCTGGCTGTTTGTTAGTGTTAGCTGTTAACTGTAGGAATGATGCTGAAGCTGGCAAGAGGGGAAAATAAACGTAATACTTTAATTCTATCAACTTAGCATACACAGTTTATGTTCTCACTACCAGATTAGACCGTAACAAATGGACACATTTTCAGTTCTCAGTTCCAGCCCACCTCTGCAGCGGCCCTGTTCCCGTTTTACTCTCCTAGAAGATATCTTCAGAGAACTCTGAGCTTTTTGCAAAGTTCTTGGCTCTATGTCCTAAGAGAAAACAAAGCATTAGGAGAAGATTTATTATTGTAGCGCTATCCGAATACTCACTAATGGCATAAATCTCAGTAGTACATTGTCCAAGATGACTCCATCCAGCATAATCAGTGACATACCTCCCTTGTTTTAGACATCTTGGCCATTTTCCCAGTGACTCCCTCAGAACGCGGCTGATTTAATTGTAGAATTATGTCCCCTTGGAGTTTGCGAAAATCATTTTCTAAAACACTGGCTCTGTGCACCAGGAAAAGACTAAGACAAAACATGAATGCAGTTACTGATAATAAAGCATTGTAAAGCATTGTGAGACAGACTTGATGTCCTCAAGTTACTCAAATGGGTGACGTCACACATCAGCTAACCCCGGAAACCTAAATGTTCAGTTTCAACATTAGTTTCTAAATGAGGAACTATGCTCTCTGCCTCTTAAGATGGAACTCATTTAGATAGCAGCCAAATTTGCAGTGCGTTGTGAAACTTGTAGTCAAAGTCAAAGCCACATTTTAATAAAGACAAAGGCCCCACTCAAAGAACATCATTTGTTCTTGTCAGTACTCGTGCCAGCAGAGTCCGATATGAAAGAGAAGTTTTAACCTTTTAAATCAATAACAAGCGCTGCGCAGACAAAAGACAAATGTGTTTAGACAGAAAATGAAACATTTTAATCCATCAATCAACTCCATTTACAAAAGTATATCCCATTTTATATACAATATGTACAGAGACGTATAAACAACTATCATTTTTCCACATGGATTCATTCATACGGTAACTAAACAATAGCACTGTACCAAAACATATCACTGATATTCTGCAGGGATGCTGTAGTGCAAATGTGCGCAAAATATATAGTGCTGTTGCTCTGTGAATACCTTATAACTCCAGTTTTAATGATTTTTTTGTCAGCTTTGCATAGATACCTTTATCCTTGCTTTAACATTTATATGATCTTTTAGTCATTTTTATAATCCCAGGAGCATATGGAGCTTTAAAGCCCTTGTTAAACCACACTTATAACTGTTAATATAATTAAATTAATTAAAAAGGCCAAGTATACAAACTGCAAATACAACATTTTAAATAGCTGGTGTTTTTGGAGATACAAGATTATCATTCAACAGCACTTAAACATATGTAAATATTAAGTATGTGTCAGCACAGTGTCCTTCCTTGTTATAAAGAGAGCTGTCTGTGTTGACACAAAATGGTGACTATAAATAGAAACTTTTGTTTGATGAGGACATTTGGCTCACCAGGGCTGATCTCTTTGTACAGAATCAACGTGAGGGGAAGCAGAGCAGTCTTTATTTGTCCTTTTTAATACACAGCTGTGAAAGTGACCAAAAGTCACCCAGGAGCTCCCTCAACATTAACAAGTTTCCTCTAAACAGGGGAGAGACTTGGGCTAGAGGTTGCTTGCTACTGATTGTGAGCAACCTTGCATTTCTGTCGAGGGCTGGTGTGTTGTGTAGTTATCAGTTCTGTCCAGCAGATGGAGCCTCTCCAAGTCTGACACTTCCCAGGAAGGTGGTGTGGTTGGTCATACTGAGGAGTATGTCTTCATACACTATGCGTATGGAGATCCTCTGGCCGGCGCGGAGCAGGCTCACCCCAGCCGTGTAGCAGGTGTTGAACTTGCGCTGGCCCGTCTCGATGCTGCATGTGCAGCGGAGGAGCGGGTTGGAGTCCACCATCACCTCATAGCTGGCAATGTCGGTGAAGTTGAGGTAGTACACCTAGTGGAGAGGGGAGACATAAAATTCACAGAAGACTGAGAGGGGTATTCAAAACAAGCCCGCATGATATTTAAGAGCTTATTTAAAGATGAAACAGCTGGAATATCAGAGTAGCCAACAAGGCTTTGAGTTATAGACGTAGCCACAGGGAGCGGGGAAAAGAAATACGTCTAATAATATAACTCAAACATTTATGGATAAGCAAAGCAAGCAGGTTTTTACGCTTAACTACAGAACAACTGCCAGTTCTTTTGATTTTGAACTGTAAATTATAAGAGTTACGTCAAGGACCGTACTCACTTCTACCTGACTATATATGAAGTAGAAACCATCCAACAGCACCTCTAGCTCTCCAGAGCGAGGGTGCATTTTAAACACACGGTGATGGATGAACACCATCTTCCAGTTCCTAAGGATGCCTTCAGACAGATCTAAACATGTCACAACAAACAAACAAGAGGCAAACAGTCAACATAAACAACTATCAGCAGTGTTTAACGACAACCAGAGCTCAGCACTGACAGAAAATATAAACCTGCTAATGATGCTTACAATCCTTTTAGATCTGCTAGCATGCGAGGCTTCTGCTCTTGACCCTAGTTAACACGAGCATGATGGATAATACAGCCTATAACTGTTTACTAATCCTATAAGAGCTATAGGATTACTTCAGGGTTACTTTAACTTTAGAGGAAATATTGGCAGCAACATTTAGCCCTCTAAACCATAAATCTTATGCAACTGGGTCAACTTTCCATAAGGTAAAGAAAAGAATATCTTGAAAAATGACTAAATCGGGCATGTTGAATCTCTAGTGTATACATTTTTATTTAACCAAATGCCAAACAATTCAGTGTTTACATCTATTCTGGAGTAAATATGTGGCTTAGCAGGGATACGTGTGGTATAACAGTTGCAGTACCATGTCTTTCACAAAGGACATTAACGGGGATTAAGCATGTTTATTGTTTTGTGTTGAACATAGTGGCGTAACTACAACTGAGAATAGACAGAAGACCCACCTTCTTTCACTCGGATGGTTGTCTCCTGCCCTTGCAGATGAACCACTTCAGGCTGAAAAACAAAGAGCTCTGGTGACTAAACTGGACACGCATTAAAACAAGAGAACAGCTGTTTCACCAGAGATTCTGTGTGGGAGAAAATTCAATTTCAAGGGGCGACACACTCTACCTGGAATTCCTTTGTTTTCGTCTTATCTGGAGCCCCTGCAACAATAAGAGAGAGACATGATAAAATTCTGGGCTTCAACACTGCTGAAGAGCTGAAGAGATGCTGATTAAAACAAAACAAACACTGACATAGTTTAAAGATAGATCACTGCTATCCCACACTATGCTTGACATCCTGCATCCGAAACTCTCACTGTGAAGGCCATGAGTTCATCGATTTTGACAGCTTGAGCCCCCTTCTAGTGTGGGAACGTGTCTACATGTGGGAAAATACTCTAATCTAAGAACAAATCTCTCAACTCGCGGGTGTTTTCCAGATCTCTGGCTTGAGTTTTGGCTATCTCAGTGTGTTATCGGGTCATGTCAATTTTAAGTTTTATACCTGCTGGACCTTGGGTGCCCGGAGGTCCCTGCGGCCCGGGGGGTCCAGGGGGTCCTGCAGGCCCCACAGCGTTGCTTCCCGGAATGCCGGGGATTCCAGGGATGCCCGGTGGCCCCTGTGGGCCTGGGGGACCAGGGGGACCAGGGGGGCCCGGCACAGACCTTTTTTTCCCTGTGAAGAGAGAAAGCAAAATGGTTGGCAAACCAAAAAACTGAGCAGGTTAATCTTTTGATGTCAATCTTATTTATATTGTCTAAAATCACAGATTTGCTTGCAAGGGCTTTACAGTCTGTACTGCATCTGTACAGGCTGTAAATTCTGATATGAAGAAAGAGAGGAGGCAGGAGTAATGTCCCCGACCAACAGAATCAATTTTGAAAGTTTGTCACTTTAAGCCAACACGGTTACAAGATTTTGGACGCCATGTGAAGGATAGCAATCTAATCAATGAACAAGATGACTTTATGCTGATTTATGTCCTACCTTTTTTCTTCTCTTTCCTTCTTTCCTTTCCAGTTGACTCTGTAAGAAACAAAAACAGTGTGATTGAGCTTGAAATTGTCTCCTGAACAATTATCATCTCCAATAACGTCTCGCGTATCCAGCTCATTCCGTGTAGGTATCCTAAACGGGCTAAAATAACAGATTCAGATGTTCGGCCCTGAACGCTGGAGTGGAGGTATGTCAGTCTGTGGTATCTTCTAGTGTAGTAATTTGTAAGTGTGGTTTCACCTCCTCTGTATGAACAAGTGCCTTAAGCATTCACAGGCAGTGGAACTGGAGAAGATCATTAGAGAGATACTTTATCCTGCCAAAATCCTTTTCTTTGAATTAAGCCCAGATGGAGAATGCAGATGAAAGTGTGTGTACGTGTGTGTATGTGTGTGTGTGTGGCTCCCCTTTACAACCATGTGTATGTATGTGCGTGCATGGATGTTGGTGGGGCATCTATGTCAGTGCTTGAAAGACAAAATGCACTTTGTGTGCATCTGCGCGCATGTGTGTGTGTGTGTGTGTGTGTGTGCGCGTGCGCTCTGTGTGCAGCTGAAGAATCCTTTTCAAAAAGCCGTCTCGCTGCTTTTGTGTTTACCATGTCATTACAACTACAAAGGCCATTTAACCTTAAAACCTCACAGTTTGAGTCCCCGTCAAACATATGGCCAGTGTTTCTCCTCTGGCTAAATGACTGGATGCATCTGCATAGATTTCTCTTAACGAGCAGCCCTATCTGGAATCTGGTGCCCGTTAGGAGTGCCCAGAACGCACACACGTGCAAACACAGGACACACACACACACAAACACACACATCTAAGGCTGAGATTACAAAAGCCTTTGTCTGTGAGAGGAGAGCAGAGGAGAGACCTGGGAATGATTAGTGTTTAGAGGCTCGGGACTTTACTGATTTATGTAGAAAGTCTCAAAGGTGAGTTTTTTCTTCTAATTTAAACACAATCACTAAACTTCCCCCCAAGTATTCAGTGTCACGCCACAGACATTGGAATGCCTTGTGATCATGCTGCACTTGTTGCTCTCAGACATGAAAGGCTTTGCTTTTTTATTTGCATAGCTCACATTCTAAACAAAAACTACAAAAGCAAATTCAGACATATCTGCCATGTGGTTTTGTGTGGAGCTATCGATTACGATAAATCAATCCGCTGGAATTAATAAAAGTTCAAATTCTCACATGATAACCTCTTTCAGAAATGGCCACCTACTTCCTTAAAATGAGGGCATTCTTTTTTTGTTTTATATTCTGACGGTTCAGACCTGGCCGATAACACGGTTGGATTTCAAAGTCTAGAGCTGCTTAGTTGACGGATACAAAAGATATTTTGGGGACGTGATATTATTTCGAGACAGGGGAAATCAACGCAGGCTTCGCTGTCTGTTTCATATTGGTGAAACCCTCCCAAACTCCTTGTTGTCCTTGTTTGCTATCCAAGTAATAATCAATCCCATTCCGTTTAATCTTTTGCTCTATAAACTCTGCAACATTATGTGGTGGAGCTGCTTTGTTAAGTAAGCAGAAAGCAGTAAAAAATCAATTCCACAAAAAGTGAGAAACCATTAACAAACTGTTTTGAAAATTTAAGAGCCTTAAGCCCACCAAAAGCCTGTTATTTACACTGTACAGAATCCCCTCCAAGCAAACAAGAGTTACACAAACCATTGCTGAACAGTCAACCAGGCTGTTGCCAAGTACATATCCAGAAAATAGACTGATGCAGGTGCACCACAGAGCAATGGTTTGTTGGGTTTTTTGTTATGAAATGTACTGGATTTGGCACAACTTCTGTGTCGAGGTGTAAGGACAAAAGACAAAAGCAGTCGTGTGTGTGATGATAAATCCAAAACAACATGCCTGTTTCTGGCTGCCTGCTGGGACTCCTTTTCGCTCGCTGAGTTATGCCCCTGTTATCCTCTGTGGCGTGGAACTCGCTATTTCTGTGCAGTAACTTCTGGTGGAAAACAAAAGAACATATTAATGAGCATGGAGGATTTATATAGAAGAAAATTCATAGAGGGCCACTGCTTTATACACTTTCCTGGTATGAACACCAGCCAGGACCACCTTGTGTTAATTCCGTGAAGCAGACAAAAGGAATGACTGATAAAGCTTTAGAGAGCGAAACCCATGTTACAAGTGGCCTTTCTATTCTTGGGGTATAATGTTTGCACAGAGACAACTTGGGGCATTTGAAAAGATGTGAGAAACTGTCAGCCAGCTCATTCACTTGTGGCCAAGTCATTGTCTGTCCCAACGGGGCGGTAACCTATCCTGTAACCCAAGTCACTTTTGTCTGTGTTTCTGCCGTTTGAGACAGTCACCTGGACACGACTGCTCTAAGATTCACCTTTTTATACAAAAGGAGGACATGAATTGTGGTTAATCTGAGAGCAATACCCATTCATATGGCACCTGGTCCCAGCCCTATTCAGAGGTAGCATGAATAAGCTAAAAAAAATTGGAGTCAAAGAGAAGGATCTGATGTAGCTGGTCTGAGCTCATCCCTTAAAACAGGAAAAGCTATGCTACAGTGGTGGGGTGTTCCCCTGGGCGAGTGAGTGGTGGGGCAAACCGCATGCCTGTGCTCTTATGTGACTGGTTCTGGTCAGCCTACATTCACATGAACTCTGTAGAACGCGCTGACCTGACTGTAACACACTCAAGACGTGACCGGCACTGACAACAGAAAATAAACGTTTTGTGCTAGGGATACAGAGTTTAAGAACACCGATTGTTCAAAGTCGCCGTCGGTTAGAACAGCCAGTTTGTGATCACACATTTGGAGGATTCCCAGAATCCAAAAGACAAAGAAACTCGGCACTGGAAACTCAACAAGACCACCCAATGGCTTATTTTTCGCCGAGCCTCGCAATATACGAGAACACTTTCGGTCACACTTTGGAGTGTCAGCATAAATAATGGTAAGAGTGCAAGATAAAGGCTCTCCCTGACTGAGGACAGACCAGACAACTTGTATTTGTGCTGGACATCTGCTTGGAGTTTGGATAACTGATATCTCCAAACCAGTGACACGTGCAGCACCTTAGCATGGATCAAAAGATAATAAATAATGATGTATCATTAATTCTTACTGCTGGGAAGGAATCAGACAAGATTACTGACAGACACTTTGACCTCTCTTTTTCCCATGGGTATATGATAAGATGACATATTCCGTGTTTCCATCTGTGACACTCAAGTAAACACAGTTGTTAAACCCCGACGCCGAGAAATCTCCTTCTCCTGAAAGCAGCGTGAACTCCCAGTGCCTCTTTGTGTGGTTTTCAAGCAGAGCCACTGAAAGACCATAAGAAGACAGACAAGAAAAGTTATGTTTCCAGTTTTTTTCTATACCTTGTCTCAGATGTGGAACCCCCCCCCCGCCCCCCCGTGATGAGGGATGAGCTGTATCATGTCAAACACCCCCCACTGGCTGTGTTGGGCAAGCTCAAAGTAGTTAAAGTCTACATCCCTGACCAGCTGCCAGCCATGTCTGACCTTATAAGCACGGGAATTCCAGCCTGATGGAGGGAGTATGTGTTGGAATGGTTTACCGACACACAGACCTCCAGATGTTCCCGCGAGCAGCGACGTTTGCTGTTCATTTGGTGCGCAGGTGTCTCCACATCTCCTCTCCAGCTGTTGGCATGTAAGGAGCTTTTACCCTCAAAAAGGATTCTGGGTGTATGTTCAGGCATATGGCATTACACTTTCGTCTGTTCTGACAGCCAAACATGATTCAACAGCCAATTTCTGGCCCGAGATTAAGCTCCAGCAGAATGACAAAAAACAAACAAGCAATCTGCTAGGCTACTACCAAACTGGTGCGGCTGGTGTTGTAGATGAAGGCAACAAAGTGATTAATAAAAATCAAAAAATAAAAAGTTACTCGATTATACGACTGAGAAATGGTTCTGTGCCCTTGTTTGCTTCATTTCACTTCATTACAACATTTACAGCCTTCATACCCTTCAAAGGCACGCAGAGTTACAGTAAATCAGGATGACAACGTGTTGGTATGTATGGCAAGTGCCAACTATTGAGTAAACCATTCTTTTTCAGCACAAGGGAAAAATGCTATTAATTAGAGGGCTTTCAAATCTTCAAAGCGTGGGGGATGCTGTTGCGCGCAGAGGACGCGATTCCCTGTTGCTCGGTGAGGATATGACTAAAATTCAGTAACCCCAGGGATGTGTAATTTTGTGATCACAAGACGTCTTTTTACCTTATTAACACTTACTAATACAACAGCATGTATTTAAAACTATTTCTATACTTATACTACTGAAATTCCCTGACATTCAGAGCTTCAATAACTGTTTATGAAAATAAAAGTGCTACAGTTTGAGTGTTTTCTGACCAATACTGTAGCTCACGTTTATCCACAAATACAGACATGCTGGTTGCAGTAACGCCTCTGAATCTTGGACAAGAAGTGAAAATGGGTCGCTAAATTGTGGTTGAGAATGTGAGGTTACAAAGTTGAGGAGTTGAAACACGGGGCTGTTGGCTGTGGTTGCCAGATGCAGACTGGGTGCCCATCGCTGCTGTATAGGTGTTACTAACTTTAATGGCATGCATGCTGCTGAGAGCTGAAGGCTCATACTACTCCTGTGATTCACACTCCTGGATAGAACAATAACAGCATGTTTTCTTCTTAAATGTCATACAAAAAGGAGTGTCCTTACCTCAGCCAGTATCAGACACTGCTCTCTGGAAGGCCATGTGTTTTGAACCATAACTTGGGTAATTTAATAACAGCGTCCACAGACTGTCATCTAAAAAAGCTGGAGCTTAACCTAAGGGAAATGTTGCCTGTCAGCAGCCAATCAGAGTTCAGATTGTTGCAACACTGCTGGCAAAGTGACTTCTAGCTGAATGCTGTGAATGCCTTGAGAATTTATTATTTTGGTAGATGTTTGTGACTCTGGGCTTAATCTTTACTGGGTGTCTACGCTATCCGTCTGTCAAGACAATTCAGTCTTAAATGGAAAAGTTTGCAGCCTCACATCTCTGATGTTTCTACCTCCTCTGCCTTGTGATTTTATGACACTTGTGTCCATACTGATTAAATCCTGATATGGAGGCTCACTCTATCTGTACATATGATACCGCTGTTTTAACTAATCGTGCACTGGTCGCAATTAAAGTAGATGAGGGTGACAGCCCACCCCGGCGCCCCAGAGCTTGTATGCTGCTAAGGACTTTGTATCCCATCACACTGACTTTTTTAATAGCCGTTAACTAGACTCCAGATGTTTCAGCATCTGTTCTCTGTGAGACTTTGAAGGCATACATCAGAGGAGAAAATTATTTCATATAATGGTTATAAGAAAAATGTTAGGCTCAAAAATAAAACGCTATCTGACCTAGCACAATTAAATACTCCATGGGTTGGCTTTTATTACGTTTCACTCACTGAGGGCAGGTGAATGGGGGTCAGGCTAACTGTGAGTGTCACTTGTTCTTATTTAGTAATGTCCTGCATTACACTCTTCAGGCCTAAAAGCTACATACACACACCCAGGAGGGGCTTTTTACTGTTGGGAACTGCACAGATCTGCTGGACAGCTGGCATTTACTGCCTTGCTCAAGGGCATACCAACTGTGACTGCTGAGGGGAAGGCTGTTTGTTCACTTCCCAGGCCCAGATCATAAATGACCAGATCATCGGCTCTCATTAAAAAGCATATAGGTGAATCTGAAAAAAGTGTGAGATGTTAAGTAGTATGTAATTTTTGTAAGTGCATGCCAAAAGTGAGTTCTTTTCTCCAACAAAGATGTTTCTACTCCTCCTTATGCTTTTATTGGATATTTTTCATTTTAAAGTCAGTATAATTGTTGGGGGAAATCTGATGATCTATAAACCTTTCATGCCAGTTTAGACTGCAAAAAACAAATTGTTTCTATATCTGTACATTCATCTGAGGAAGCAGATAAAATAACACTTTTATAGAACATCCTGACATATATAGATAGGCTCAAATTTGGTTATTGGTCTTACATGTTCAGTTTTATAGCCTTATTTTCTGTCTTTGCCTTACATCACCCCACAACCCAAGTACGAAGTGGTCCCACCTCTGTTCACACAGAGATTGTGAGAACTGATCAAAGACTTGTAGTAATTCAGCTTATATAGCCCTGATCCTTATCTGGGAGTAATAGCCACAGTCACTTTCTTCAGATCAGGTGTGTTCTGTCAATTTTCAGTACACTTGAGGGTTTTTGTTGCTCAGTGAAAGACAAGTGGTGGCTGAAGTAGGACACGACAATGATGGGATAAAAAAATGCATTCAAACTGGATGCAATATTAGATTAAAGCAAAATTTGCTGCCAGAATAAACACCGGATGAGGTTCTCTCTTCGTAATCAAACTTAAGCATTAAAACACTTACAACTTGCCGCTATGGAGCGAATTACGCCAAAAAAAGAAATGTCTGGATTTCCATTGGGTGCACTGTTTACCAAAGTGGATTTTTGTCCGATGCTCACCAGCTCAGTTGAAAACCATCTGACACACACTAAATTTAGTGTGCAAGAGAGAAAAGCCACATCGCTGATCTTTTCCAAAATAAATCTCAACCACAACACGGACTAAGTCCATCTGAACAGAGATTACATCTCAATACACTGGTGCTATGATGACAAAGCCTATACACTTTGTGTCCGTTCTGTCAGATGTATGTCTATGTGGTATGTATGTTTGTTCCTGGACCCGATTACTTTTCCCTTCCTTTGTTTTCTAGGAACACTTCATGTTCTGCCGCACTTGTCTGTATACCTGCACATCCCATCGCATTTCACTGATGCTGCAGAAGAGCCTTTGATGAAGACTTGTGTGAAAATTCCAATAAACACTTTTTTTCTCTACAAAAAGAGACTCTTCAAAGGAAATGCCTGAAAAGCTAACAAGTGCGGCCGCTGCGTCCAAATGCCACATGCTCCTGTTTCTCCAACTATGTAAACTGTGGGATCTGTAATCAGAGTTGTTTAATGCAGACATCTGGCAAGGACAGCATCACAGCGCTGTTAAATATTTACAGCTGGGCCACAGTCTTTCACCTCATGAAGCGTCACCATCTGGGTTGAATACCAGGCCCATCTAGCTCGGCTTTAACCAGGGAACCCAAACTAAAATAAGCTTAGCAAAGGAAACACTGAGGGCTAAATGAATAGGCTGAGCTTCCCACTAGTGAAAGGAAAATGTTATATGGCAAACACAAACACCAGAAATAATCTTTCCTACAGAGGAATAAATGGCTACATCCTAAATAACTTGAATTAGTCCGGCCAATGCCCCACACAGAGGATCATTTTCTCTGCAAAAAGGTTTCACAACTGGTGACATATGAGCTAATTGACAAAGCAATGCAAAGTTGAGACCTACACTTGGTCCCTTTGTACTTATGAAATTAGTGTGTGTGTGTGTGTGTGTGTGGTAGCGGTGGAGGGGGCGGCTGTTGCCAAAGCCACAGACAACACAATGAACATTCAATCAGGCTGCTGCCAGAAAAGAAAACACATGTGAGACGCGGCTGGCTTGGCTCCAAGTACCAACTGCCCCATCTCAGTCCCGATTAATTTACATCAGCCCTTGGGCTTTGCACCTGCTGGTGATCTAGTTCATTTTCCGTCCACCTGCTCCAGCATACTGACTGACCAGTCTCTGGGAATCCAGCTGGGCAGGCTGCCTACGTTTTGAGCATCAACCTTTGTCTGTTTGGGGGGGGGGCTCTGGAAACAAGACAGATTGGGTTAAATGTGGTTTGGTGAAGAATAAATAAAAAGCCATACCGCACCATACCTCTCTAACTTCCCTGATCTGCTTGTGTTTACCTGAACAGGAGACTTTGGCCAGGTGACAGACTTCACAAGCTTAATACCTTTTGTGCATCTTTGTCCAAGACGCTGAATCACGCACACGGGAGCGCTGATTCAAAACATATTTGTCTGGAAACTGAGCTGGCAAAACTTCGTGACAGGCTACTGTAGAATAAGTTGCCCAGAAACATGCCTTAACAGAGCACAGACACAAAACCTGACACCGCTGATACGGGAACAAGAGGACTGAACGGAGGTGAAAGAACACGAACAGCCTCCGTGTGAGGAATGAAAACAATGTCGCCTTGAATGAGCTGCTGCGGCTGTTCATGTAAGCTTATTCAGAGTTTTTGTCTATTTTTAAAAATACATATGTTTTTACCTCATGACCCTCTCCTCCGCGGGAGCTGCCGGAGTCCAGTCGCGTGTGGCCGGGCGAGAGCACCTCCGCCGGGTCAGCCAGGTCACTCCCCGCAAGTGTCAACATGGTGTCGCGCTTCTGGAGGATTATTTCCCTTTTGACTTCGGACCGCAGATCCAAATAGCAGACGAGGGTGACAGCGTGCAGGCACAGCGACAGCAGGAATAATCCCAGGAAGACAACGCTGCCGCTCCGACTCCTGCACTTCTTGTTGCACGTGCAGGGAGCTGCTCTGGGCATCACTTTGTCCGGGAAATCCTCCGCGGATGAACCATCGCATGCCATTATCGGACAAGAGCGCGAGCCAGATGCTCTTTTATCTCGGCATAATCAGCTCGTTTGTCTCGCGCGAGCCGCGGCTATTCATTTACGTGGAGACTCATAGGTGCAGCAGCGGCAGGTCGGTCCGAACTTCTTCGAGTAGCTGTAGTAACAATGGAGACCCGCCCACCTCTTCTGTGATTGGTCAATGACAATTACGAAGGGGTGGGGGGGGGGGCTGGATGCGCCAGGTGCAGCAGATGAGCGACACCTAACGGACAAACCGGGTAGCTGCAGTGCCTGTGTGTTTACGATAATGAGGTGATGTGAGAATATTCCACTCTTTCTGTCTGTTTGTTGTTCACAGTGTGGTGTGATTATTACTCAGCACTTTGAGGAAGGAAAACACATTTCGTGACCTTTCTCACTGATTTATTTTCTGGTCTGTGAATGTGTGGGGCGGGGACGGGTTGGTCACTGATGTAATGTATATTGTTTATGCATGTGTTTTATGTGTTTCAGGCTTTGGACATGCTATTTTTCATTGGTGTACTTTGTTTGGCACTTTGTTTTGTTATGTGGGTGGCACATGGGTGGTGGTGCATGGAGTGGTGGTCCTGTGTGAAGATTTAACTCAAACCCCCTGGTAAATATTGCCCGGTGTTGTTATTGAAAAAGAACAAGCGGTTGATGATTTCATCCCATCATCAAAGCGTGGAAAAGTATTGCAAATGATATTCTTAAACAGACTACACATTACACAATTATATTTAATTACATCTGGACCCTGTCAGGCTGAACGGTATGATAGCAGGCCTGGGTCAATGATTTAATGTCAAAGTGAGGTCAGCACCGCTCTGTGTACAACACCATCAGATACTCTAAACACGTGTCACTCAGCTGGACTTGGCGAAAAACTTTGACATTTCTGTTACCAAAAAGCCAGCTGAGGTCAATGCTTAAACAAGATTGAATGTGGCACTGCCGTTTCTACATGATCAACATCCAAGGCAGACCTTAGTTTTGTTCTTTTCAGATGTAGACACTTTGATCTCCGAAGCAAGGGAACCAGAGGTAGCCTGTGGATCAGTCCGTCCTTGAGCCTTGAGATGATGAAACCACTGCACTGAGAGGGGCTGAAAACTTGATGGATCACCAGCTTAGATTAGTTTTCAGGCAAGTGCCACAAAACATCTGTCTTTATTTCTTTGGGACAAAATATGACATTTGAGCGCACTTGACCTACAGGGATGTACACTTTTTCATAATATGAGCTCACCCTGACAGACACTGAGTAATCGCTGGTTTTCACTTGGTATTGTGTAAGGAAATAATAGAGAAGAATGATTTTTGGAGATCAGAATATGGGTATTGCATCACTGGGAAATGTTTTCAGTTGATGACTATAAGAAGGTGAGAACTCAGGGGATTGATTCTGCTCTTTCTGGCTCTGTATCACAGTCTTTTTCTCCTCAGCACAATCTGTTATGTTCCTCCAATCATCTGCAGAAAAAAAGTGATTCTAGTCAGCTGCCACTGAAGGGCAGCATTGCCAAGCCATAAATCAATAAAACTGCATGCCACTGTCCTCATGAACTTGAAATTAAATCATAAAACAGCTTCAAATTGGGTGAATGATGACTTTTAAATAACATCTTATTTTTATATTCTGTACGTAGCTTATATCTTTATATAGCTTCTCTGTGGACTACTGATCACATATTAAGCATCCGCCTTCTTTCTTTTCCCGGAAGTCATTCCTCCATTGTTCGAATATAAGATAGTGAAATCGAAGAGGGAAAAGCATTCAAAGTAACCCTCACAGGGCCTGTGACTGAGGGCTCAGCCTAAGTATGTTTGCCACGCTTTTCATCCAAGCAGCAGGCACAATGACTTTGAGAAGCAGATAATTCAGGACTGGAATAGTTAGCACATGCATCTCCTGTGATTCCAGCCCATTTCAAAAAATGATTTTAGGTTATTATATTTATGAGGAGTTGCTTCAGGAGGCAAAGGTCAAACTCAACGCAATGCTACTGTCGCCTCTGTATCTGCTGCCTTGTTTCAGATAACACAACTTTTAAAGCCTGTGACAATTAAAACCAATTTTGTCTGATTGTTTTTTGTCATCAAAAAAAGGGGGAATAATTCTTATACCCCCCCCCCCCCAGGCATCAATGCAGCTTTTATAAATGGTGTGCCACTCTATCCTCTCTGAGCTTATAACAAGATTTAGAGGCTTTCCCTGCCAGATGATGGAGTTTTGCAGGAGGAATAGGCACTCTTATATTTAAAATGTGGGGAAACTGCTTTTAGTTTTCGTAACACTTTAAATTAAAACTTTTACCTTTAGGTCAATTTAAAACCATGATTACAAACTACTCTGCTCTTGAATGTAACTGTTTGTAACTGTGGTCTGTTTGTTTTCTCGTCAGTTATTATTTTGCTGTATTTTATTCTGTAGCTGCAACCCTGGACATCATTGTAAATGAGGGCATGCTCTCTCTGATTTCTCAAGATTAAATAAAGGTTCAATTTAATTAAATATTCATAGAAAGTTGAGTGGTGGGCTGAGACTTCTGTTGTTGGAAGATGATGATGGCTGCTTAGTCTCTACTAAAGAGGTGCTGTCTGTAAGTTCCTCCTTTCTCCTAACCATTCATAAAAGAGCACAAATTAAAATCCACTTTCAATCATAAGGAATCACATATGAGCTAAAGCGATTCATAGCTTATCGAATAATACTATTATATTACAGTAAATTATTTTAGACCTCTCCACCCCCCAAACATTACCTTCTCAGGAGTCCTTGTGTCTGCACATTGAATTGCGGAGGTGTAACCTTGGCTAATTGATATGCTGTGGCATTTGATTTCCTACCTATAAATCTCCTGTAAATTGGACCATGTCTCCTATTTCCCCGAACAATGATTAATTCACTCTCATTGTGGGTGTCAGTCTTAAGAGTCCTTATCAAGATTGCTGAGCTCTCTCTCTCTGCCTGTCTTTTTGCACTGTGCTGCTTTTGTGCCCCTTGCCTCACTCTCCATGCTTACATCTATTTGCTGACTGTTGTGTGGAACTATTTGGATAAACTTTATTGATTTTTTTTATTCCACACAGACTTGCTGCAGTTAAGTGGCCTTGTTAGCATGCAAGGGGTTGTTTTGTGTGTTTTCTCCTGGCAACCATGTCCGGAGTAATCAGTAAACAATACAATTTTAGAGTTGCACTTGCAACTAATTCACTGTTTTTTATTTATTTATTGTTTTGGGGGGCATTTTGCCTTTATTGAATAGGGACAGTGGAGATACAAGCAGGAAACTGGAGTGAGAGAAAGATGTGCAACAGGCAACAAAGAACCTCTGCCAGAAATTAACCGGGAAAGTTGTGCTTTCATGGTATACATCTTAACCATGAGGCCATTCACTAATGACAAGTAAAAATACTACAATGTAAAAAGACTCAATCACAAGTAAAACAGCAAGTAATAATGAATTATTTATTGTAATAATATATATACAGTATATTGCTTTATGTATATCATCATTATTTCTGATTCATTAACCTGTAAATAGCATGTTGGTTGAGAGTGAAGCTAATTTTCACAGCTTCATAATACTGTTGGATGGTTTACCTTATAACAATGCATTACATTTTATAAAAGGAATAATGTAGGGGAGTAGAAAGTATTGTATATGCCTGTAGAAGTAATTACATGAAATGTAAATACTCAAGTAAAGAACACGTACCTCAAAATTGCACCTATGGCAGTATTTATTTATTTTTTTGGCTACTTTGGGGGCAGCAGAATAAGTTGTAAACAAAACACCGACATATTATCACTTTATAAAGTTGATATAGCAAATGTGTTAGCAAACAGTTGCACTAATTACACTTCCAGTCAACACATAGCAACATTAGCATGCATTTTGAGTCCTGTGTTTGTCCCCCGGATGAACGTAAATCCAATTTATTTTCCTTTTAGCACTTAGCTGTTTTTCGTCTTAACCAACTCCTGAGGGAAATATCTGGCTCTTTAGCTGCTACATGCTCCAATATGTTCAACAGCTAGTCACTAGCATTGTCTGGGTGCTGATTGGTGCTGGGCGGGTAGTGTACAGTGGGTTTTTAGAGCCTTTTACTGAAAAAAGCTGCCTGCTTCTGCTGCAACTAAGAGCAGCGAGACTGAATTAAAACAGCAAAGTTGTGGGCCTTATAACCAAAACAATGAGCTGAAGGATGTTAAAATGCCCTATAGAGTTGAAGGGTACTGCAGAATCTGGTGACGGATGACTGTTTTCCTTTCACATTACACATCGACCCATTTTTAACATGAAAATATTAATTAGTGCTGCTTTAAAACTGAATTTAGTGTAGTTACACGAGTAGCCAAGAAATTGTCTTTTTTGTTTGTGTACACCTTCATGAAAGTTGCTGTCCCCAAAAGCCTTTTTTCCTGTGCCAAGTTTTTACTGTTTAAGGCACTTTATTAAACAGGGATGTTTTGCTGTAAAGGCTGTAATATTTTGCCTTGCCTCAAGCTCAGCAGTGCTCCTCTGTGAGTAACCTTGTCTGTTACACTGCAGCACCATCAGCAGAGACATGATTCTGTAATTGTATTTATTAATGAAGAGCAGAAGACCTGAGAGACGTACAGCACACTGACATGACACAGAGCAGAAGAAACCCCATAGGAATACAGCCATGCCACTGATCAACAACATAATGGATATAATAAGATATACATGAGTATAAGAATCCAGAGTAACACAACAATATTCATGTAGTAATGCTTCATCAACGATTAAGCATTACAAAAAGTGTTTCTTTTATTAAAAATGCATTATTCATTCTCAGCTAAGATAGTTGTTAATTATAATGTACGTTTATATGGGTGCTCAAAGAGTAAAGAAATATTCATCAGCATTACACATGATATTATTAACACTGTACTAATCAATATTTTTGTTTTACAGCCTGCAACTTTAATGTTTTAGTTCAGTCTCAATGCTCTCATTAGCTTGTTTTCAGCCACAGCAGAGGCTTTTTCAGAAAAAAAAATCTCTACAAACCTGCTGTATGCTACCCGCCCAGCAATAATCAGACAAAGTTAGCGAGTAGCCAGGGAACATAGTGAACCATTCATCAGAAATAA